CGTGTAGTCCTCGGCAGGCACTGTTTCCACAAGGGATGCCAGCTGCTTCTTGGCTGGATCCTGGCTGCGTGTCTCAAATGTGTTTGGCTCGAAGGCATGAAAACATAATCGAGAAAAACAGCTCCTTGCGGCTGCTAGCAGTGGTGCTAGACTGATTGGAGGATGAAGACAAGCTAGTGACAGTGCTGGGGGAAGAAGCCGAGCTGCTGGCGCTGGCAGAATCGCTTGAGCCGGAAGATGCACCACCCTGGGGCTGAAGCTCACCTGAGATGTGATGTGCGATGTCCCAGACCATGGACCATTGCACATGTATGCGTGTGCATGCAAGGAATTTAGTGTCCAAGTTACCCTCTTTGCTGGTAGCTGTTGACTGGCCCTCCTTGCTGACAAGGTAGCGTGTCAGTGGGACTTGCGCAGTCTCCCTTGGAGGTGGCTGTCTCAAATTTAAAGTCACCGGGAATCGGGGCCCTTTTGTGCACCATCGAAGCAATGTCCCGTCCTTTGGCTTGGCTTCCTCCTTGCAGCTATCTGGCCCGTCCTCCCCAAGTGCCTCCGCCGGCTCCGACTCACCCTCGCAAAAACCACCGGCTGCTGCGCTTCATCCTCTGAGACCTCTGGCTCATCATTCTGCAAAGCCTTTGCCTCTGGCTGCGCTTCCTTGGTGTGGATGGTGGAGATGTCGGCCCCGTCATCCTGAGAAGCCATTGCTCCCAGCTGCGACTCATCCTCCGAGATGTCTGGCTCGCCAGTCTTGACCTTCGGCCAATCCTCCTCCGACTCACCCTCAGAGACATCCATCTCATCATCCGAATTCGAAGCCATCAGCTTTGGCTGTGCTTCCTCCAACTCACCCTCAGAGACGTCCGACCCCCACTGTCCCAGAAGCAAAGTGGGCTGTGTGCCCAACAAGCTCTCCATTTCCCGGGAGTCAGGCTGCCGGTCACACTCCATTAAAGCTGCCCGTCGGCGCTTAGCACTGTCGAACACAGCACTTTCAGGCTCATCAGCCTCTGAAGCCTTCACCTCAAGATCCGACTCGCCCTCGGAGACGTCCGGCTGGTCAGCGTCCAACGCCTTCTCCTCAGCGATGTCCGGCTCATCAGCTTCTTCTACCTCTGGCTGCGCTTGCTCTGACTCATCCTCAGAGACTTCCGGCTCATCAGCTTCTTCTGAAGCCTTTGGCTGCGCCTCTGACTCATCCTCGTCCTCAGAGTCATCAGCTTCTGAAGCCTTATCCTCGTCCGGCTCACCGGCTTTTTTTGAAGCCTTCACATCTGGCTGCGCTTCCTCTGACTCATCCTCATCCTCAGAGACGTCCGCTCATCAGCTTCTGAATGCTTCACCTTTGGCTGCTCTTCCTCTGACTCATCCTCAGAGACATCCGACTCATCAGCTTCTGAAGCCTTCACCTCTGTCTGCGCTCTCAGAGAGGTCCGGCTCATCAGCCTTCGCCTCTGGCTGCGCTTCCTCTGACTGCACCTCCTCCGACTCATCCTCAGAGACATCCGGCTCATCAGCTTCTTCTGAAGCCTTCACCTCTGGCTGCGCTTCCTCTGACTGCACCTCCTCCGACTCATCCTCAGAGACATCCGGCTCATCAGCTTCTTCTGAAGCCTTCACCTCTGGCTGCGCTTCCTCTAACTGCACCTCCTCCGACTCATCCTCAGAGACATCCAGCTCATCAGCTTCTTCTGAAGCCGAAGCCTTCACCTCTGGCTGCGCTTCTGACTCATCCTCAGAGATGGCCGGCTCATCAGCTGGCTGGGCTTCCTCTGACTCATCCTCAGGGACGTCCGGCTGGTCAGCGTCCGACGCCTTCTCCTTTGGCTGCTCATCCTCAGCAACTTCCGGCTCATCAGCTTTTTCTGAAGCCTTCCCCTCTAACTGCACCTCCTCCGGCTCATCCTCAGAGACATCCGTCTCATCAGCCTGTGAATCTGGCTGCGCCTCCTCCGACTCACTTTTAGAGACTTCCGGCTCATCAGCTTCTGAAGCCTTCACCTCGAGATCTGGTTGCGCTTCCTCTGGCTCATCCTCCGAGGCATCCAGCTGGTCAGCCTCCAAAGCCTTCACCTCCTCATCGGTCTCCGACATCTCATCCACCTGCGTGTCCTGCATCATCCTCTCACCATGATGGCTCAAGTCGGCCAAAGGAACCTTCGGATGAGGCAGCCGCGCATCCACCTCTTCCTGCGCAGAGGCAGTGGACCCATCCTCGTCACTTGTGGAGCCAGCGTCTGATCCAGACTCCTGCGTGGGATGGATCCGCAGGATCCAGTGTGCAGGTGCCGAGCAGACTGTTGTGATAGAGGAAAAACCACACACGCGAAGACAGACAGACAGACAGACGGACGGACGGACGGACGGACGGACAGACAGACAGACAGACAGACAGACAGAGAGACAGAGAGACACAGAGACACACACACACACACGCCCCCAATTCGTGATCTAATTTCAAGCATATATATATATATATATATATTAATTGGATGCCATGCGTTGCATACATTCGTGCATGATCGATACACGTGTGCAAAGCGTGACAGGCCTGCATCTTGCCCTTGCTGTGTCCGGCCCCTGGCACCAACCCGCAGGCAGTCCTAGGTTTGGCTACAATGATGGATCGGATCCTACAAAATGGTTAGTACCCCCCCCCCTTCAAGGTCAACAAGGTTTGGGAGGGGCAAAATTTTGAGGCTCTCTGGTAGGACCCCCCAATAACTTGAGAGGAACTTGAGGGACTTGAGGGGCTTGGTGGCCTTTTGCTTGCTTTTTAAGCTTAAACCTTTTTGTTTGAAACATGTAAAGAAATCTGAGGTTTCCTGACAGGTTTGGGGTCGGTGCATATTTAATTAGGAAAGCAATCAGCCTGGTGTTTTAGGGTGGGGGGTGGCAAGGGAGTACCTTTAATCAGCGGGGTGTTTTGGGGAGGCCCCAAAAATAATGGGTAGGGTTGCGTGGCCCTTTACGTGGGAATCTGGTGTACGTGGATCGAAGGTTTTTTTTTTGGGGGGGGGGGGTACTGATTGTTCCCTGACATTATGTGTGACTTGCTAGCAAACAAATGTGCTGGCGCCAAGGGGCATATCAACATCGCCCATACCAAGGTCCAAAGGCAGCGTTTCCAGCATCGATGGGTCCCTGAGCAGGTGTCAAACCCATGGCCAAAGTACTGAATATTCCGAACCCAATTATGAAGGGCCGTTTAAATTGATATGGAAATTGCCATATGCAATCAATGAGTCGGAGTCTGATCGACGGAGCTTTGTCTTGAAATAGCACTTCCACTAGATGAACGGCTTCTCCTCGCACCAGCCCTGGATTGTCTGATGAACACGCCATGCGTCCTGTTCGCCTGGGGATCAGCATTTGTCCCTCACTCAAAGAAATGCCTATTTGCATCATGAAGACAACATGCATGGCAAGCCTGCACTGTGATCCATTCATCTTGTTCACCGGCCTCCATAGTTTGGCCTCAGAGTTTGGTTAGTTGCATGCTCGCCTATGCATGTCCCTGGCACACAACGGTGCACCATAAATTGACAGCAAAGAGGCACAGCTTTGCCTCCACAACCAACTTTGTGACGACTTTGCGGCATTCATTTTCTCGGGGAACCCTTGGAAGATTTGCTTCCTGGAGGGCCAAGATCGCCCACTTGTTTTCTTTTCTTCTGATATCACCGCCACATACGAGTTGGTTGGAGTCCATGATCTCTTTCCGGGAAGGCATATGTTTGCGGCACTTCCGCAATAGCTTCCTCAGCATGAATTGTCATGTTTTTGCAACCATTGAATTTGCAGTCTGGACACACGCCGTTATCCTTCAGCTTGCCAATGCGTGGGCGCGGCATTGCCCGGTGGGGGTGGTCAAATCAGAAAGTAAGTGTTGATTTTGAAGGGGGCTACCCCGTTGCAGTGCATGATTGACTCATGCCTGTGACATGCAACCCCGCCATACCACCGAGCCCAGGTGGTGTCTGCGCTGGCCGGGCGGCTGCTGTGCTGCCTCCCCCCCCCTCATCTGCACCCATCCCTGGAGGTACCAATTGAGGGCACTTTTTGAGTTAGGGTCAAACGAGGGCACTTAGCATAAAAGTGTCGTCCATTCGTACCAACACCTAAGTGCCTTCAAATAGAAGGCACTTGGAGGGTGCTGGTACAAAGCTTCAATTATCCTTAGGCTTTTCCTTGGATGCTCAGACACGACTTTCACCGCGCAAAGCGGACAGTCCTAAAGGTCAGCTCTTAAGCCATCGCAACGTTTGTGACGAGCTCGAGCTTGAAGCTGTTGAGGATGCAGCAATACCAAGCAAACTCAGAAAAGCTAAGTGCTGAAACCAAAGCTTTGGCATACCGATGTAGGCTCTGAATCCCACCCATCAAAGTGACGTGACTACGAACTGACGAATCAACACATTTGCCAACCACTGCGCCACAATGTTATGCTGAGTTTTTGAAAGATGTCAAATAGCATTCGTTGTCAATGTTTGTAGCAGAAAAGGTCCGCGTTCTTGCAGATTGCGCACGGACCCTAGCAAAGCGATAATTTATGAACACTGCATATACCCGAAAACAGATCTGCTGGAACCGGCTGGAACGCCCGTTTGGTCACAGTTTGCGGCAAACCAACCTTCAGTCTATACACAAAGCAGACTCTACAAAACAGAAACGATACTCAGAATAAGTAGCTCCTGAAGCAAGTATTGTGCAGCATGGCAACACAAGCTCAAACAACCGTTCTTTTTGGTTGGAGCGCATTGTCCATTTTGGCGCTGGGGACGGTCGCACAAATCAGGGGGTGCGAGCAAAACATGTGTAAATATCCTCATTTTGCTGCCAACTCCGCCTTTGACAGCTGGTATGGCCGAGACGCCGAGACGTCTTTTGGCTCCAAATCATGGCAGCTTGGTTACAGGAGCCACAACCCCAGAGCAAGTTTGCACCCACGTCCAAGCTACCGCAGCGCACGAGCTGGCCGCGCGGCAGCTTCTTGCACCATGGCGGCTGGCATGGGCGGGCTGGAAGGATTGCTCGGTGGACTGGCTGCTGGTGGTGCGTTGGATGCTATCTGGGAGAACCCCATGGCTGCATGGCAGCAAGTGGGTTTGAGGTTAGAGAGGAATCAAGCCTGAGGTTTGCAAGAATCGCCAGGTGCTTGCACAATGCAGTGTTTGAGGGCGGTTTATACGCCTTGTGTGAGAGACCTGGGATGAGAGATGTCGTTTAACAACCCTTGAATCAGCTTGAACCCATCACTGTCAGGTGGCAAACATCGCATTCCACCCAAGCAAGATTGAGCCGAGCTATTTGGATTCTACGGGTCCCATCCGAGATGGTACCTTTGACACCTCCGATGGGAACAAGATCAGCTACAGGCGCGACCGGTGCAATTGTCTGAGTGATCATGCGAAGAAGCTTAGAACAGAAGGCTGGCATACCCGCTTCTGCTTGTTTTGGTGTGTGAATGGTGTGTTGCCGTATGTTGTATGTTGGTGTGGTGTGGTGTATTGCGGTGCGGTGTATTGTGGTGTTGTGTGGTTTGGCGTGGGGTGGTGTTTCAGTGTGTTTTGCTGTGTTGTGTTGCGCTGTGGTGCACTGTGTGATGTGGTCTGTGTTTGTTTATAACAAAAATAACTATTTTTTAGTTTTTTTTGTGTGTGTGCGTTTGTGGGTTTGTGTGTGTGTGTGTTTGTGTGTTTGTGTTTGCGGTTGTGTGTGTGTGTGAGTGTGTGCGTGTGTGTGTGTGTCTCTGTGTTTGTCTGTGTCTGTCTGTCTGTGTGTCTCTGTGTGTCTCTGTGTGTCTGTGTGTCTCTCTCTGTGTCTCTCTCTGTGTCGCTCTGTGTGTCTCTGTGTGTCTCTCTGTGTGTCTCTGTGTGTCTCTCTGTGTCTCTTTGTGTGTCTCTCTGTGTGTCTCTCTGTGTGTCTCTCTGTGTGTCTCTCTGTGTGTCTCTCTGTGTGTCTCTCTGTGTGTCTGTGTGTGTGTGTCTCTCTGTGTGTCTGTGTGTCTGTGTGTGTGTCTGTGTGTGTGTGTGTGTCTGTGTGTGTGTGTGTTTGTATGTCTGTGTCTGTGTCTGTGTCTGTGTGTTTGTGTTCTTGTGTGTCTGCGTTTGTGTCTGTGTCTGTGTGTGTGTGTCTGTTTGTGTGTCCTTTTTTGTGTTTTTGCTTGTGTGTTGCGTGTTTGTGTTCGTTTTTGTGTTTGTTTGTTTTGGTGTGTGTGTGTGTGTGTGCGTGTGTGCGTGTGTGCGTGTGTGCGTGTGTGCGCGTTTGTGTTTGTGTGTGTGTGTGTGCGTGCGTGCGTGCGTGCGTGCGTGCGTGCGTGCGTGCGTGCGTGCGTGCGTGTGTGTGTGTGTGTGTGTGTGTGTTGGTGTGTTTCAGCTCACTGTTTGTGCAGGTGTTGTGTGTATGATGCCTTTGTTTGTGTTGTGTGTGTGTGTTTGTGCTGGACTCGCAAAACAATGCTCTGATAATTCAGCGTTGCAGAAATTCAAACCGCCCAATTTAGAGGAAAGCTGACTTGAGGTTCTACGTGCCTTCAAGCATGAAGCCCAAGATCGTGGTGTACTTCTTTCATGGCAATGCCGAAGTTTGCACTGCCATGGATGACATTGCTGAGATGCTTCACGCGCATGGGGCTGCATTGCTGTCCATTGACTACAGAGGCTACGCTTGGGGCACAGGCCAGCCAAGTCTCAAAAAGCGGCTTGGTGAGAAAAAGAAATCCGTGGCAAAGTCCCTGCCAGTTGTTTGACTTGTTGTTTGCACAATTTTGGAGGCGTCCAAATGTTATATATGTATAATACATATATATATATATATATACATACTAATATGTATATATATATATATATGTATGTGTTCTTGCCTTTTGCCAGGCTGGTTTCAAACAAATTCTTCCCGTCCCAGGCTTTGCGCGGATGCGGACCAGTGCTTCACTGCCAGCGAGGGTCTCCTGGCCGCTGCCGGCTTCGCGGATGCGCGGCGGGTGGTCTTTGGGCGTTCCATCGGCGCCACCTGTGCTGTGCACCTGGCGCAGAAGAGGGCGCGCAAGGTCCACGGGCGCCGCGCTCGCACGAGAAGACCAGTGACACACACACACACACACACACACACACACACGCACCCAGGGTTCCGGTTTTTGACTACCCCTGGGGTTTCCCTTTTGGGGAAATCAAAAAACAGATTCCTGCACACCCCGAATCGTAAGTTGGACCAGAAAGGGTGGAAAACGCTTAGGGCGCCTATGTCAGATGGTAGCGGACGAGAAGGTACGAGAGTCTTTTGTCGTGTTTGGAAAAGCAAGCCGCTATGAAAGTTCTTCTTTGGGGTGGGCGTGGGGTTTATCTAGGAGATGTTGCTTCATGTTCGTGCCGAGTCTTATTAGTGTGGGAACAGTGCAGGCGTGGTCACCGCGTAATTGCTTCCTTGTAGTCCGGCGTTGCTTGTCTACCCTGGAGCCACTAAACAGTTGAGGTTGCCCAAGCAAAGACATGGCTTTGTATGGAAACACCTGGTTTTGAGAGATGGCCTTTTTGCATACGTTGTTTATTCCTTTTTCCATGGTGTTTGTACAACAACGATGTATGTCCATAGTGTGCTTGGGTTTAGCCGCTGCAACTGCTGGCTTGCTTCCTTTGCTCGTTTTATATACATACATACATACATACATACATACATACATACATACATACATACATACATACATACATACATACATACATACATACATACATACATACATACATGTTACTTTTACTTTATGCTTTTTCGTAGGCTGATCGTGGACTCGGGGCTGATGTCCATCAAGCAGCTGCCCACGGTGCAGATGCTGGGGCCCATGGTCTTCCAGGGCAACACCGAGATGTTCCAGCAGCTGCCGGAGCCCTTCGACACTCTCGGTAAGCTGCCGGCTGTTGGCTGCCCCGCGCTGGTCATGCACGGCGACAAGGATCCCGGCGAGGGGGTGGTACTGTGGATGGTTGCGAAATCCAGAAATCGCACCACGTAAGAAACCCTGGATTGAGTCGATTGCCTTGTAAATACCAAGCAAGAATGGTTCCCCGTGGTTTCAAAGTGGTCCAGGATTTCGTCCATCCACAGTAGGTCGCAGATTCGGGGAAACATTAGGGAACATGGCTAAGCTGGTGTGAAAAATTGGGGTGTGAAAAATTGGGCACATGCAGCGATGTATGTCAGCAGAAGGGCGAGATCCATGCGAGGACGAGATTGTGCCCTACACCCAGGCCGTCCAGTGCCACGATGCCCTGAAGACGCCCGCGAAGAAGCTGCAATGTTGGGTAGGCCAGCCTCGCTGCTTTCCGGCCGCTGCCCAAATGCGGGCTGGGAGGAAGTGGAGGCAACAAACCGGTTGACCGACTTACATGTAACCCTGAGGGGAATGCTTGATGAACACGCCTTGTGCGCTCTTTCCAAGAATCAATGCGAAACTCCGCACATGGCGAATCTGAGATTTGTTTGAAAATGCCGCCAGGGGCGACACACAACGATGTGTGGTGCCTCTATGCAGAGCCCTGGCGACACGAGGTGAAGACGCTGCTGGAGCAGGACAGTGTTGCATTCATGGGAACAGTAGCTGCAGTCTACATTAGTTCCTAGTTGCTTACCCACAGCAAGGATGATCTTGGAGTAATTGTTTAGTATTGTGATATTGTGCTAGCTCAAAGTCTTGGATAGCCATCCATGCAGGATGGACACTTATGCCTCAGATTCACACAGTCACTTCTTGTTCGGCGTGGATTCTCGGAATCGGTGTGCCCAGTTGGGCACATCACCAGCTCACCCACGCCCGAGTCTCGCGATGGCAGGCGCTGGAGTTTGAGAACTCCTTCCCAGCGGGCGCTTTGGTGGAGACGCACTCCCTGTCTGCCGCAGAGCTCAACGGCCTTCAGGCAGCCTGTGCTATTGTGTTGCGCACGGAACAACAGCACCACTACTTGCAGTGCAATCTGGCCGTGGGTCAACACCAATGGGATCCCATTTTGGGTAGGTGCACCACCTATTTGAGTCTATTTTAGTGGGGATTGACTGGGGTACGGGGTACGGGGCTTTGACCCATAGCCATCTTGTCTGTTGGGGATGGTGGTCTGGTTCTTTACTGGTTGGTGCTTGTCAAGACGGGGATTAGGCAAAAAGACACGCATTGAGAGGCTTTTGACATGAGAGATGCTTGCCTGCCATTGAGGCATGTCAAAAAACGCTTAGCCAAGGACCTCTCCAAGACGGAATCCTGTCAGTAGACCAAGAGTCGACTTTCTTCTTTTGCCAGATGTGAGCCGAACGTATCCTGACAATGTTTGTTGATCGCCTGGAGCCACCCTTTGCAATCCAAGGGCAAGTTGACCTGGCTGTGTGTTGGACATGCTCAATGCCCTTTGCAGCATCAAGGCTAGACAATGGGAGCTACAGTCAAACCAAGGGGAGTTGTAGGCTAGCATCGATCATTGCATTGATGGAGCCGGCCGTTTGTGTGACTACTTTGGTTCTAGAAAGCTTCCTCTACCGGTTTGTGGTTATTACGTTATGACTTATGCCTCACATTCATTGGTTGGATTCAATGATGATGTGTCGCCGCACCCTCACTGCGGTTGGAATAGTTGGAACGACTTGCTTTAAAGCTTGTGCAGTTAACCACCTAGTATAGAGCAAGCCTTTTTGTTTCATGCATGCGTGCATATAATATGGTATATACATGGCTATCTCTGGAGTGTGTTAAGGCAAGGCAAACCAAGTTTCTTCACAGGACCTGTATGTATATTGTGCATAGCACAACTCGGCCTGCCCTTACACAATCCCGATGTACCGGGGATTAAGATCCCTCGGATGGCTAACATGTTGCTATCCTACTACACATTCTCAGGAAATTGGGCCTCAATATTACACGGGTGAAAGTTTAAGCGTCAAAAGCCGGAACTAGAACCATACGTTTGTGCTTTGTCCATGCGCTCAAATTGAATCAAGCTCCATCCGGTTTGCAGCGGCGTCACATGGGTCTGTCTCAGAATGGGGCAGCCCGATTTTCATGGCTCAGAAGGGAACGGGTCAACGCGGAACCATAGGTGTCCTTTTTGGTTGTTTTGGTAGAAAATAGACGGCCCTGGTTTACCTGGTGGTTTAATCATCCACCAGGGCCATCTATTTCCCCGAAAAGGACACCTATGCGCGGAACGCGCATCTCCCGGATCCTTTGGTGCTCAGGGGCGCATCTTGGGGCCTGAGAAGGACCGGCTTCGCGTGGAGCTGCCGGTGGGCGTGAAGGCCATCCTGTCGATGTCGAGACTCTGGCCGCTCCCGTTGCTCAATTGGCCGTGGGTCAACACCGTTTTGGATCCCATTTTGGAGTAGGGCACCACCCATTTTGAAACCTATTTTAGTGGGGATTGGGATGTTCACTGAGGGTACGGGGTTTTGACCCATAGCCAATTGCTGCCCAAAGAATGCGTTACCGCAGAGGGAACGCATGTGAGGGTCCCAGGGCTCCCCGATGTCTCGTTTTGACCCTTGTCCAGCTACTTTACTAAAAGTTCGGCTCCACTCCCGGGTTGCAAACACAAGAAATGCTGCAGTCCTTAATTGTTGAAAACAAGTTAGTCAAAACGTGATCTTGATTTCGCTCAGCGTGTACGATAAATACTCAATTCCATGTTGAAAGCCTGATTGAATACACTGAACAACTGTTGGAATTTGCTTGCAACCCCTGCTTACAAGCAGGGGAGGGGTCTCGACGAGGCGTCCGGGAAAGATACGACTTTTTACAGCATTTGTCTCCAAAGCGAACTTCATCAGGGACGTCTTTGGGGATTCCTTTCTCTATGCAAAATGTGTATATAGATAGCAATTTAAGTATATGAGCCGCGGACAAAACAGACGAAGACCACTTTATCAAGGCGGGGTACGTTTTTGCATAACACATGCCAAAACCATGGAAAACGATAAGGTCTCCCCCTAAAAACGACAACCCTTAGCTAACACACGGCTCTATAATAACCCCTGCAGTTGCAACTTAGCTATGGTGGGACCCTTGCGTGGCCACCGTAAGACGAGAAGGCGAGTCGCCACTTTCGAGCTGCAGCTGCCAAGGTGTGCTTCGTAAATACGACACTTGTACTGAGAAGTTGCGATTTTCGAGCTGGAGCTGCGGAAGTGTACTTTGCGGTACTAGACTTGCACGACAAAGTTTTGATTTTCGAGCTGGAGCTGCGGAAGTTTGCTTCGCGTACTAGACTTGTACTACAAAGTTGCGATTTTCGAGCTGGAGCTGCGCAAGTGTATTTCGCGTACTTGACTTGTAGTACAAAGTTGCGAATTCGAGCTGGAGCTGCGGAAGTGTACTTCGCGTACTATTCTTTCACTACAAAGTTGCGATTTTCGAGCTGTAGATGCGGAAGTGTGCTGCGCGTACTAGACTTGTACTACAAAGTTGCGATCTTCCAGGCGGATCTGCCAAAGTTCGAAAACACCGTAAAACGATAAGGTCTCCCCCAAAAACGATAACGTTCAAAAAAGTACTAGGGCCAAGTAAAGTGTTTCGTCCGCTCCTCATATGTATGTATGTATGTGTGTATATATATATATATGATCAATAGACATAGGGTGCTGTCAGCAAACAAGGTGGCCCAGGACTCGAATCGACAGGTGTTTCTTCTATAAATAGTGCCATGGACATCCAAGGAAAGCTAGTTGATTCTTCATTTACTTTCCGATTTTCCAATACCTGGGGGCCTTTTCCCCAAGAAAAGAGCACACGCAGGCAGGCAGGCACGCACCCACCCAGTTAGCCGTGGTTGTCTGGTCCTTGGAGTCTGCAAAACATATGGACGAGCCTCCTGTTCAGAAATGATTGCGCATTCATCCCACTCAACGTACTGCAGCTTGCCCGATTTGTGCAGGCGCTGAAGCCGAGCAACCTCAAGCTGCTTGATGAGGAGCCTGAGAAAGGCCGCTTTGGCATGCAAGCACAAAAAGCGGATGACCTGCCTGCCGATTCTGGCGCGTTTTCGCAAGATCAAAGGTTAAAGCATGGTTAAAAATTAAATTGTTGCTCCTCTTCCAACGTCAACCAAGAAAGCGAGAAGCCTGCAGGCTGAGGCAAGTGATCTGACCACTTGCCCTTGGCAGGTGATTCCAACTCAAGCTCAGGAGCTGACGACTTTCCGATCGGCGCAACGGTCGAGGCCCATTCGCTGTCCTCCGCCGATCTCAATGGTCGACGCGGGAAGGCAACGCGACTGATTGAGTGCCTTTCTTTTGAGCTGAACAATTCCAGCATTAGAGGTACTGTGGATGGTTGCGAAACCCGCTTCTCGCACCACCGTTCAGAAGCCCTCGTTTCTGGTTCGATTCTCCTGTAAATATCGAGCAATACTGGTTTCAACCCTGGTTTCATTTCGTGGTGCGAAGGGATTTCGGAAGAACCATCCACAGTATCTCCTCCTGGATCTGATATTATGGGTCATGGTGGTGTGTTTGTGGTGTTCGCTGTCTTCCTTGGACAGCGAACAAAAAGAAGGAGAAGAGAGCTTTTCAGCACAGGTGTCCTTTATAGGCTAGTTTGGTTAAAAATAGATGGCACTGGTTTAGATGGGGTTTATTCCATTTACCAGGGCCATCTATTAATGGCCACCTATGCTTGTCAGACCTGTTTCCAAAAGGCCACCTATGCTTGTCAGACCTGTTTCCAAAAGGCCACCTATGCTTGTCAGACCTGCGCTGAGGTCTTGGGCCCTCAGAACGAGCGCGTGCAGGTGGAGTTCGAGGATGGCAAGAAGGCTCTGAAGCCTTGCAACTTGAAAGTGGTGGAATGAGCCCAGCGAACCCTCCGACGGGCATAGGCCCGCGGGCGGGCACGTGCCATGCCAAAGATGCACCTAGACCTCAGCTCGGGGAAACGGGAAAAAAGCTGCGGACGCGGAGCATGTTGCCCAGCGGTTTGAGCCAGCCCAGGCGTGAGATGTGGCTTCCTGTCTTCTCTCAAAGTTTGTCTTTTGTTGGACAAGTATCACTCGGATGCGTTTGCGAGGAGTCCTTGAGAGCTCTTGAAAGTATTTGAAAGTGGGCTTGCACCTTTGCATGCTGATGCTCATTCATTCTGTGGATAGAGGAAATCCTGCAACACCGAAGAAACCGTGGAACGGTTATTCCCCTGCAAACATCAACAAACAGTGGTTTCCCATGGTTTCAAAGTAGTGCGAACGGATTTCGTCCACCTGCAGTAGGGTTCTGACAGTGACATGGCCGTGGGTCAACACCAATGGTACCATTTTGTTTTTAGTCTATCTTAGTGGGGATTGGGATGTTGACTGCGGGCATTGGGTTTTGACCCATAGCCACATCTGTTACACGCCCAGGCCGATTCTTGAAAGATCCCGACGAACTGGTGGCACAGAGCTGTGAGGCATCCAACTGCACACAGATGCCTTTTGTTTCTGGGAAATGTGTATTTACTTGGGGTTCTTGGATGTGAGTCTCGCTGCCCAGCCAAGAGCTCACAAGCTGGTCTTCATCAAGCTGAAGAACCATTTCACTTTAGCTGTAGCATTAGATCTGCTCTGGAGACTGGATTTCGCGGCGAGTGGTGATGTTTGGGAACATTCCCATCATGTTCCGGAAGCAAGCTTGCTTCCCTGCAGGTTGCTCTGGCGACGATTGCATACTGGAAAGCCTGGGAGGAGAGAGCAGCCACTGTATGCTACACATTCTCAAACATGAATGCACGCAGCATGCGTGCCGCGCCCATGGAAACTTGTAATGCACTCACGGTTGGGAATTCGAAGGTGCACCTTGATGAGACTAAAATTGTGTGTCCTTTGCGACAACTTAGAGTGGTATCCAGTGCTTGGAAGCTTCTATGACAGGATGCTGGCCAATGACAGCACAACAGATAACACGGAAATACATTGACAGCCTTGCACAAACTGGACATTCCACAGCAGCCAACATGAACCCTGCTGGGCAAATCAGTGTTCTCAGCAGCAACATGGACTTCATCTAAGCTTGGGCATGAAAGAGCAAAGCGGATCCCACGATTGGAAGAGGCGACCCTGATTGTAGAGGGTGATACTGTATGAGGCCTGCGTAGTACTTGTCTTCTGACTGCTGCCTCTTGCTTGAAGGGAGAGGAATTCCTTCGTTTCCAACCAGCTGGTGGTCGGAAGGGAGCCGTTGCGGAGCTGGGGGATCCACAAGTTTGCTTTTTTGCAGGGAGCCTTTCGGAGCCACCGGTCGGAGTCCGGCAAGCACCTCTGGTAGCTCAGCCTGTTGCCTGCTCCCTATCATAGGCGGTTGGGGATGTTGAGCTTCTTGCTCCTGCGTCCCTGGCACGCTTCCACCCTGCCTTGAGGGACATCTGCGCTGGGCGTTGGCCAATAGCTTTTCTCCCACATTACGAGTTATTCCCTTCAGTCAGAGTTTTCAGAGGAGCTTGAGGCAAGGATAGCTGGCGATGCCTGAGAGGTGCCACAAGGCGCGGCGCGCGGGGAGCTTATTGCTTGCAGACTCCGGAGCTTTTGTACTGTTCTGGGAAGGGAGGCAAAGGATATTTATCTATGTCGCTATGAAATTAATGGGTACCGGCCCCACCTAAATGACCACCCAGGTTCCGCGATGAAAATTCCCAACCACATAGGATCAGAATTGCTGGCTGAAGACCAAACTGCTTCGAGCCTCCAGGCCCTTCGAAACATTCGGACGTCCTGGCCGGCTCGAACGGCTTTGTCTCCGCCCACTTCATGGGCAAAAAAAAGACGAGAAGGACTAGGACGAAAGATGACGAAAGCGAGACGCATCTCACCCTGGCTTTCCGGCCGGCAGAGCCAATGCAGGACATGATGCCGAAGACGTTTGTGGCATTTGTTTACGTACCAATGAGCATAGAGGTAGCCAGCTATGAGCTTCGCGTGTCTTTGGCATAGACCTCCGATAGCACCCGCAGGCGAGAGAAGTTCGCATCGGGCGCCCGCCGGGCTGAAGGATGATGCTTGGCCTGTCAAGTGCGGGCGCAAAGAAAAGTGGGCGGCGCAGCGTGCTGAAGAGATCATGATGCCAGTCACCAAGATCTGCTTGATGGCATTTGACTTGCTCTTGTTGGAAGGGCAGGGCCTTTGCACAAAGTGGGGTGATACTGTCATTGTCAGGATCACTTGAGTACATGACGTTTCAACCGCCAACTTAGCAAGCATGCTCGACAAATACAGGCACAAACACCTTTTGTTCCATTTTGTCGGAATATCTTGGCATATCAGCTGCGTCTCAGGTACACAGCCCGCCTTCTCAAGAACACGCAAAATGTAGCTCTCACGCGATGGTTCTTCCTATGAAACAAAAACACATATCTATATATATTTAACGATGGTTCTTCCTATTAAAAAAAAGAAGAAAAGCAAAACACATAATGCTTTTTGTTGGCGATGATGTGATTTCCGATCCATGCTGATTTGGGAGGCGTACTTGCCGGACCTTTCGGCGTTGTTTAACCGCTTCAGCATCAGCGCGGAGTTCTACGCAACACAGTGGCCGGGGGCCATATGTTTCTGGAGATGCTCCAAGTTTGAGCACGGGTGGTGGTGCCTGGCCGGTCTTAGTTGGTGAAGTGATTTGTTTGGTTAGTTCCGTTAACGAACGAGACCTGAACTGTCACCATTTCACCGCCACCGAGGATCTAGTCGCCCAGAATAGGGAATGGGATGGAAGGAGGAAATGCAAAGAGAACTAATAAAAGCAATAACAGCATTTCCCATGCTATCCTTCTATCTCCCCATCTCGCTCCATTCCTGTCCCTTTCCTTCTACCTCCTCTCCATCTCTCTTCAATCGATTGGAGGTAGGATAGGGAAAGGGAAGATGAATGAGGATGGCTTCTTTCACCCGCCATCTTCTAGTCCCGGGGGTGGACCTGGCGGGACATTCTGATTGGTTTAGTACTAATGATTCGTTGGTCCGCAGGCTGCTTTTGAATAGCATCGAAAGCCTCAATGTTTGTGTATGTCGCCCCTGTTTTGATGGCTCTAGCTATTCTTGCATTCGTTTACGGCATTCATCATTTTTCCACGTGTTACGGTGGTCAATTCTAGTTCAGAATTACGATGTTCGGGCTTTGGGAAAACATTAAGGGCAAAGGTGAACAGCGATGGGCAAAGGTGAACAGCAATCCAACATATAGCGCAAACTTAGAAAGGTCCCCAAGCTTGAGTTGGTTGAATCCCTTCTTAAACATGCATTCTAGAAGTGTTTCTCCTTTTCGTGAACCTCCCTACATGTCACAGACACCCAGTTGTTGACTGCCAAAACCCGGGGGCCACAACTAATAAGCAACAAGTGTCCAGTTGCAATGTTAGATTTGCGGGGCGCGATTTATCATTCGGGGGCAAGGGATGAATCGTAGGCGACTGAGGTTCTTGACGCTCTTTGCCTACTCGCTACCTTTCCCGCACGTGTTGAGGGCGCCGCCCCCAGGCTTGCAGTTTCTGGTGCAGAGTGGTCACGCAGCTTGATGCTGGCAACTTTGATCTCAGACGCTGTTCAGGTTTGGGACCACTTTCTTTGTCGTGGCGTGAAGTATTGAGCTCAGGGGGCGGCTTATGCACTTGCTCAATGGGAATCATGCATGATTCTCCCATAGATGCAGCTTGCCGACTGGCGGGCACGATTGCTTGGCAGGCTGTCCGGCAAGCCTTGTTGGCTCGACGTGGGGGCAAAGCCGGTTGCAGACACATCTGGTTTCGGCCGGCAGATCTTCAGAATCAGCCCAAACAACCGTTGTGACCTGGGGCACGTCCGACACCACCGTGGCTTCAATCTAGTGAGGATGGGACTTTTGGATTGTTGTACGCTCATTTGGAACATTCCTGTCTGTGGCGTGAAAGAAGGTATAAGGGCAAGCACGGTGTTAGACAAGTGACCTGCCTGTGTATGAGTGTTTATACATATGTATATATATAATATATTAATCATAATTTGACGGCGAGCGTAAATACATACATATATATATATACACATTATACATACAACACATTTGTTGAAAACTATGAGGTGCACAGGAGCGGGCTGTAATTCCAGGCCCGAAACTCATGGTGCGAAGTTGCCAATGTGGCGGTGGAAGCTCACCTTTTTGGCCTTGGGTCAAGTTGCCTTCCTTGGCGGCCGCGAGTGGAGGCGAGACAGCCTTTATCTGGCCATTTCGGGAGCGCGGCAACTGCAAAAACCTGTTTTGGTGAAGTTTGTGCAGAAGTGCCCAAAAGAGAGATCATTATGTTTGTAGGCCTTTTAGTTCTTGCTTTTGAAAGCCTAGCACAGATTTCAGCATCTCCCACCTCGCATGTGTTGCAATTGTGTTTTGTGCACCATCATAGTTGCCTCAACTAGTCAAACCTCAATCTGGAGTTGTGGCATTCTTCGATCAACTGTTTACGTGTGATGATTTAATTCTGTGTAAAGAGTTGTCATTGTGCTGCCCGCATGATCCATTTGATGCACCTAAACAGCAGGACGGCCAGGACTACGCGCCGTGCCCACGCCGAGCTGCTTCACCATGGCAGCAAGTTGTTGGCTGGCAAGGACAAGTGGCTAGGTGCGAGTGGGACGGTTGCCATGGCTGCGATGCAATCCTACACCTAATGACCATGTATGGGATGTATGGGTGTTTGAGGCTAGCCCCGTTTTTTGGTGGTTTTAAGGGGAAGCCAAAAGGAACAACACACCAATTTTGAGGGGTCCCCTAAAGAAAGACGAGCCACCCATGCCGTTCCAACTTTGCCCGCTGGGGCAATTCTGGCCTGCCTGTGCGCCATCAACAATCCCTGAAGGTGGCGTGATTGCGCCTGATGGGGGCATCTATTGCATCCCCTGCAACAAGGATCGGGTTCTCCGAATCTGCACTGAGACTGGCGACATCGCCACCTTGGGCCGCAGATTTGCAGACTCATAGCACTTTTTTGGTTGCACATCGCAGCAGAGTGAACTGCATCCCATGAAGTCTTCAGGCAACAATCGGATGGCAGCTATTGACATCCTTCGTAAACGTCTCAATTGATTCATGAATTTGGCCGCCGTCATTCCCTATGCACTTAAGGCACGTCCCCTGGCGAATTCAAATGGTCACGGGGCGTCCTGGCAAAGAATGGCCACATCTATGGCATCCCGGCTGCGGCGGAGTCTGTGCTGCCAGACGGACAACCTGAGCGCGGTTTTGAACAAGTCTGCGGGTTTTTGGGAGTAGGGCAAACAATCACTCAGGTGCTGGGATGTTGTGTTTTTGGGTGCTTCAATGCCTGTGCCATCGCAGCATGCGTTGCATATTTGGAGCGGCCACTCATGACGGGAATTCCATATATCTTCCCAAAAGGTGCGCAGTCCCAGTTGCGTTGGCAACAAGGGAAATCCCCGCTCACCCAACTTGCCCAACTCCTCATGTCTAGGCTGAAGATCTCTACTGGCGATCTGTGCGAGATCGGCACTGTGCCTGAGGGAAGATGGAAGTGGCACGGGGCTGCGCTTGCTGAGGAGAGAGGCGGTCACCAGCCATTGAGAACTGCTATCCGTGGGTTGGCCCACAGAAGATTGACATTGCTGTCAGTCGGCGTCCTGAATCGTTGGACCCAGTTGCGCTTGTTCCCAGGTACCAAGTACGTGTGTCATCGAATTCTATGTTGCGCACGCAAGGTAGCGAATTTCTAGGTGAAACGTCAACGCAAGGAGTTCGCAGCACAACTGAAACGTGGATGAAGTGACGTCACAACTTTCACTCGTTCGCTTTTTGACACCCAAAGCCGCACCACGAATTATAGTAGTCGGATGTGGCTGCGCATTTGCCGATTTTGCTCGGAAGACCACAGTGTGAATGATTCGCCAGCGATTGACTTGCTTCGAACGTAGTCAGCAAACACAGCGTGTTTGCCCCTTGCCACTTTGAAACCACCACAACTGTAATCATGTGATTCCTTGCGAGCATTAGTGTGCTTGTTTTGCCTCGGGATGTTGTTTTTTTATGGATGCATGCTGCAACTCAGAGTCCGGCAGTCCTGGCAGCCCATCTAGTCCGTTCAAGGTATGGATCCAGATGTTGAAGGGCCTTGCATCAACTGTCAGCTAGGAGGTTTCCACTTGGGTGTCGAGTAAGCCAGAGGGAAGCCCATCTTTTCGGGTAACGCAGATTGCAAGCTGTATCCAGTGACACCAAGCCTCAGTTTGCCCAGAGGACGGCATCATCTACTGCATCCCAGCTAACGCCGACCGTGTCCTTCGCATCGACCCAGAGTCAGACCATGTGGAGGAGATCGGTCCGCGGCTGCCCGGCCGCTGGAAGTGGTACGGGGGCATTCGGGGGAGAGATGGCGCCATCTATGGAATCCCCTACTCGGCAGACTCCGTCCTGAAGATTCAGCCAGAGACAGGCCAGGAAGCCTGTCAACTCCAAGCAGATTCGTGGCTTCGAAAGTTTGAAAGTGGCCTTTGACACCCAAAACATAACTGGGTCTGTCTATTTGTTGAGGGCACCCTTCTTGTTTGGTGCTAAAGGGAAACCAAAAGGAAACCAACCAGTTGGGGGGGGGGGTCCCGGAAAAAGACACACGCAAACAAATATTATGTTGAGCGTACAGTGAGTACTGGCTGTTGTGGCCATTGGCCTGTGGGTCAAAACCAATGGTACCATTTTGGGGTAGGTGCACCACCCATTTTAGTGTATTTTGGTGGGGATTGGGATGTTCACTGGGGGGTGCGGGATTTTGACCCATGGCCATTTGGGGCCCCAACTTTCTTCGCCCGAGGCGAGGTCTCCACACTGGGCAGCCTGCAGGGCCGCTGGAAGTGGCACGGCGGCGCCCTGGGCGTGGACGGCGCCATCTATGGCATCCCTGCGCATGCGGAACGGGTGCTGAAGATTGTGCCGGAGACCGGAGAGGTGACACTGATAGGAGGGAGAAGATGCGCAGCGTTTGGTTTTCACGGGGGCTTCAACTGTGCAGGTTCAAAGTATTGGCTTTGTCAGCGCTAGAATTGCAAGGGGAGCCGAGTGTCAAACGACAGAAAGGGAGCCCGTTGCAGCATACCCGTCTTCTCTACTTTGACAGAGGGGCGGAGACATCGGACTTACCAACGCTGCAAATGCTCCCCTTGAGCCAAGCTGCCCAGCTGTCGCAATCAGCTCCCAGATCCAATTCTATCTCATGATTGTTTGCATTATATAATGGATGTTTTGCTTGGTAGCAGAGGGGTTACAGAGCCGGTTCTGTCGAATCTCTAGGAGACCCCATCCCTGGCAAGTACAAGTGGCTGGGTGCAGTGCTTGGGCAAGACGGATGTTTGTATGGTATCCCATACAATGCACAGAAAATTCTGAAGACCCTTGGCATTGCTTATGGGTAGGACGAGATAGCCAAGCGCATTCCGAACTCCCATAGGCAGAAAGAATCTTGATGGTGGTACCGAGGATCCCACCTGGAGGTGAAGAGGTGACGTTGGTCGACATCCCTTTGAAAGGAGCGAATATGTGGCAGGGTGGCGTTCTTGGCCACGATGGAGCCATCTATTTCATTCCACGCTCCTCGGCTGTGTGGCACCTTTATACGTGTATTGATGTAGGATGCGTTGATGGCATGCAGGGTACCGTGCTTCATAGGGCCGTGGGTCAACACCAATGGTACCATTTTGGGGGTAGGTGCACCACCCATTTTGGTCTATTTAGTGGGGATTGGGATGTTCACTGGGGGGTGCGGGATTTTGACCCATGGCCATGGAATTCCAAGGCCGAGCAGAGAGGGTGCTGCGCTTGGCTGACGATGGGACAGTGTCCGTGGTGAGCGGGGATGCTATGCGAGGCCGATGCCCTGAGCCGACTCTGTTGCATGGATGTGGCTGTGGTTGTCGAAACCAATTGGGATCTCATTTTGGTTGGCAGGTGAATTCACCGCCCATTTTAGAACCTATTTTAGTGGGTTGGATTGGGATGTTCGCTGGGGGTATGATTTGGATTTTGACCCATGGCCATGTGAAAGCCAATGCAGCAGGCTGGAACAAATTCCAAGGGGCTGTTCTCGCGCACAACAGATGCATATATGGGGTGCCGTGTCTTGGCTTGAACCAGGGCTTGTAAAGTATGATGTCAGGGAAGCTCCGTCATAGTTTGAAGATGCTGAGGCAAGACTTCAACGGTGTGCTAAAGATAAACTTGGATGAGCTGACTCCATAGCTCTCTCCCATCGCAATCATTGATGTCAAGAGGAGTCTCGGCACACTGGTGACTGCAACCGTGATGTATGCCTCGGGCTCGGGACAACGATGTGACACAACCTTTTCGACGATTTCATCCAGCTACATGACCTACACTGAGAGAAGCTTGGCGCAGTCATGCTCCTGCTATTTGGATCACAGCGACAGATGTCAAACCTGGAAAACGGCTTGCTGCATTGCGTCTGCAAAGGGCCGTACATGATCTTCGCGGATGCTGGCCACTACGGGCAAGTGTGTGATGCGGTGTGGCAAAAAGGTTCACCATGCGCCGGTGCGGGAGAGCTGTTTCCTCCAACAACTGCCTTCGATTCGTCAGAGATAGCTGAATGGGGGCATGGCTTCCTCATGTTCAGCTTCAAATTCTTTAGGCTTCACTTTTCTGAGTAGAGTGCCTAGAATTGTCCTTGTGCCATAGGGCCTTGTCCAGCCGAAGCGAGCCCCAAGGTTCATCCACCGGGTGGGTCTTGCCCTCTTGAAAGAGGCCGACGCCTCAGACCTGCTCGTCAGATCTGACGAACCTGTGGTCCAGCCGTGTCTTGAGACACTGACTGGCATCGGAAGCCAAGTTTGGGCATGGAGGTTTTAGTCCTTTGTTCCATTTGCCAAGGTTTCATTCTGGGTACCAATTTTTGACCCACACCCATTTGAGTAATTATGTTCCGGCTGTGTTGCCAACAGCGTTTCGGCATTGACGTGGGAACAAGAGCTGGGGGAAAAAGAGACCCGGATCATGAAACGGCTTGATCGAATCTTTGGATGAAACGAGTGGCCTGAGAAGAGCCCATCCTGCCAGAACAGCGCCCGCACGCCCCGAGGCACGGCCCTCACTGCTGGGCCAAAGCTTCGATACCACGATCGACAGGCTGGAGACTCATGGAGCACACGCGAAGCGCAAGCGTCACGAGGCATGCTTGAATCTCCGGAACCCTTGTTCGCGGGTTGGGTGGGCTGTGTGTTTGTGGGCCGGCGCGGGTGGGCTGGATGTTTGTGGGCGGGCGCGGGTGTGGGGAGGGGCGGGGCGGGCGGGTGGGTGGGGTGGCTTTGTGTGTTTGTGCGCTGTTCATTTTGTATGGTGTGCTTGTAATTGTTGGCTGGTGTCGTGCGCTTGCTTGTTTGTGTTTGCTTGCGGGTGTGTGCTTGTATGTGTTTGTCCTTATGTTGTGTGCTTTGTGTGTATATGTGTTGTTGGTTTTATGTGATATACGTATATATATATATACGTTGTATATAATTATATATATATATATACATGTGTGTTTCACCGCCGTAGATTTGAGGTCGACCTTGGCATCAGGTGCATTCCCTGCCAGCTTCTGAGGCTGCGCTGCCTCTGCCAGACCCAGCTGTCTCCAGAGGCACGGGGAGGTGCTGTGGACGTCGCAACACCTAAGAAACCGCGGAATGATTCGATCTCCTGAAAATACCAACCAACCTTTCAGAAACTGTTGAGTGACTTGATTTCTCGGTAAATACCAAGCAACATACCCAACATGGACACTTTGGGTCATTGAAAGGTCAGAGCAGGTCTCGAGCCCCACGGGTGTTCCGGTTCTTGGGAACTGCAACGCTGCAAGTGCCGCATCTTTGACCTCGAAGCCTTACGCGTTGGCTCGTCGACCTATGCACAGATATCATCTCGCAAAGTGTGCCTGGCTTTCCATGGCCTGAGCCATACCCAACACCAAGCCTCAACCCAGCGACCCAGCCGAATTCCTTTCCAAAGTTTCGCCACGCAGCCCGCCCTACCTTGCCCTAAGACAAATCACCCCCAAATCGAAGCCTAAACCCACCCCAAACCTATCTTAAACCCACCCAAAATCCAACGCCTCGCAAATCGACACTAAACCCGAACCGCCATCCCGTGCTAAACCCAGCCGACGCCCAAACCCATGAACCAAACTAACCCGAAACCGAATCCTTTTACCTCCCCTCCTAAATGTGCCCTAAGCCCTAAACTACCCGCATGTTGCTGGGTTGGGCAGCTCTTCCATTCTTCAGCCATGGCCTTAAGTCTCGCATGAAGGCGTCGTCACGTTTCTTGCGCCATCGCAAAGGTTGAGGTCAGCTGCCGAGATTCAAAGTGGGCCGAATGGCCGACCTTGGCGCCAATGCGACTCGCAATTCCCATAGGTGCAGTGGGGCATGGTAAGGTTTTTGGACAGCCCTGTGTTGATGTTCAGCCGAAGGTGATTGTTTTTGTGGGGCCTGAACAAAAAAAAAGAGCACCCTTTTTCGACCTGATGACCCGCATGCTAGGACACGGCTCCCATTTACATGACCAAAACTCACACGTGTCCTGCCAGTACTCTATTCTTCGTCACATCCACCCATTTTGGAATTTGGCAGACAGATAGTCTGCCTATGCGCTGCCGCAAATGAAGTAGGTCCAGGGGGCGGGTGCCTGTGTGATTTCTCTGCATGACGAAATCACACAGGGCATGTTTAACTTGCCGCGCCTGCTGCGAACCGGAAAAAAAGCCCACCCACACAAGCGCAATCGTACAAATTGCACCGCGCCTGGCACGAACTATTGCGCCGGCCTGCGCGAATTGCTCCCCGTGCGGCTGCGATGCGCAACGCTGATCCATGCCAACACGACCATGCCATGGAATCTGAAGCACGCGAGACGCGCCCATGCGGCAGAGGCTGCGCGTGCACTGACTCTGCCGTGCCTGCCACACGAAGTGACGCGCTGACTCACGCAAACACGAGCGACCAAGCAACCGAGGAAGCGAGCGAGCACGGGAGCGGGGGGGAGGGAGGGAGGGAGTGAGTGAGCGAGCGAGCGAGCGAGCGAGCGAGCGAGTGAGTGAGTGAGTGAGTGAGTGAGTGAGTCATGGAGACTTAAGGGGGAGCAGGGAGCGCGAGGGGGCTGCAGCTGGAAGAGGTGCTAGTATGACCCCCACACTGATGTGAACAACTCGGTTTGTCGCTTTGGGGCCACATTGCTCAGACGTGTTGGGACTTGGCCAGGCCTTGGTCGCATCGGCGCTCCAATTCAAGGCACGCCTTTCAAGCTCACGCGGGCGCTTTGCGGACCTCATGGGGCGGGGCAAGCGGTGCAGCTTTGGACGATTGCGTGGCTGTTCTGTCCTGGCCAGATTCGCAACAATCCTTTCCGGACAGCGTGAAAGAAAAGTTCGCAGAACATTCGCCGGCATGATAGCTCTTGAAGATGTGGTACACAGTGCTAAACGTGAGTCCCTTCCAGTGACGAACCCTTCACAGGTCCACAAGGTTTTCTGGGAGAGGGTCCGGCACTGCACTGGACACCTGCTTTTGTGTTTGTTCATGTTCTTTGTTGCTGAGAAGTTGAAGCTATGTCCCTTGCTCGTTTCTGACTCATCCGGTATTTGCGGTTGGATACAGCGAAACCCTTTTGCTGTTCTCGACGTGAGCCACAATCAAACCTCAGATGAAGGTTTACGGGACGCTGCCAACCATACATGGATGCGCAACCTGGTTTGACTGTTCACTGACTGCTTAATGCGAGGGACTGTGACGATGCGCAAAACGACGTTTTTTGCACTTGGTTGATTTGAGAATGCCCAAGAACTTTCAAGCATCTCGCTGAACGTGGGGCTCGGAACAGCTGTCCGGAGCAGCTTTGGACCAGCCTATCTGGAATTTCCCATCGCTACAGTTACAGTCAAGAGGCCATCGCGGCCAGCTTCTTTGCACAGCCTCATTGTCATAAGCGGATGTGGCAAAACCTCGACTGTGCCAAACAAATCGATTACTTAGCAGGTGGTGTGCGTGTGCGCTCAGTCTTGTTATATTATTTAATGCCTTCGTTGCCTGGGAGATAGGTGGCTAAAGTCAACCTTCTCTTGATTGCTCATAGGGAGCTTTCTCCAAAATGGTTGGACATACATCCCCGTTTCCCCACAATATTTTTCAATGTATGGGTCAGGGAGGCCCAATTGATTGAAGCGCTCATACCAAAGCGTTTTAATCTTCAGCCGCCAAAACAGGTCACCAACCGCTTCCTCAGCGAGCTGGAGGCCGCCATCACGAGCCCAGCCGGGCTGCCCTGCTGCTTCCTGGAGCGAGACTTGGATCGCCGCAGCCTGAGCTGGATGGCTCCGATGGACCAAACTCATGCACCACGAATCTACGAAATATTTTTTCGGGCGGAGAATCACTGGTTGAAACTGGAGTTTGCTTGGGTGTGAAATGGAGTTCGTCCATGCACGGTATGTTTGTTGCAGATGATGGATTGTTTTGCCAGCTGTAAAAGATTGGGTTTTGTGGCCATTGAATGGACCTGAGGTGGCAAGACTTGTTGCCGGTTCCTTCTCAACCCAGACGACGGAGCTTCGCTCAGTCAATTCACATGGTGCAGTGCCCGTGCCATCAAAGCAATGTCGCTGGTTCAAGCATGTTTGATCATAGTGACATTTAGGTGCATCAAGTGGGAGAATCAAGTTTGGTGTCTCTGGCTGCGTGTGTTGAGTCAGGGCACAGTGAAATTGAGTCAAACGAATTGCGCCGTCGGTGAACCACACAGGCGCTCAGAGTTTGCTAAGGCATTGTGCGCATGTGTGAGGAAGTGGTGAAGTGCTGAGTTTGGATGAGCTGTATCCAATTACGAATTATTGTGAATGTGGCAACTCAAAATTACATCACATGACGATCAAGCAATGAAGAAGGAAGCTTTGTCTTTACCTATTCAACTCTTCTTGCTCCAATGAATGTTACAAGCCCGCTTGGCTGAGCCTGGAATTGATACCACAGGAAAGTGGCGCAACGCATTGACTTCAAACAACACACAATCTTCAGCAAAATTTACACTAAGAAACAAGATATCGGATATGGTGCAGACGTATCGTTTATTGTTTTTTGTTTTTGCGTGTGTGCCTGCGTGCGTGCGTGCGTGCGTGCGTGCGTGCGTGTGTGTGTGTGTGTGTGTGTGTGTGTGTGTGTGGCGTGTGTGTGTGTTGTGTGTGTGTGTGTCGTGCGTGTGTGTGTGTGTGTGTCGTGCGTGTGTGTGTGTGTTGTGTGTTGTGTGTTGTGTGTTGTGTGTTGTGTGTTGTGTGTTGTGTGTGTGTGTGTTGTGTTGTGTTGTGTTGTGTTGTGTTGTGTTGTGTTGTGTTGTGTTGTGTTGTGTTGTGTTGTGTTGTGTTGTGTTGTGTTGTGTTGTGTTGTGTTGTGTTGTGTGTGTGTTGTGTTGTGTTGTGTTGTGTTGTGTTGTGTTGTGTTGTGTTGTGTTGTGTTGTGTTGTGTTGTGTTGTGTTGTGTGTGTGTGTGTGTGTGTGTGTGTGTGTGTGTGTGTGTGTGTGTGTGTGTGTGTGTGTGTGTGTGTGTGTGTGTGTGTGTGTGTGTGTGTGTGTGTGTGTGTGTGTGTGTGTGTGTGTGTGTGTGTGTGTGTGTGTGTGTGTGTGTGTGTGTTTGTGCGTGCGGGCGGGCGGGCGGGCGGGCGGGTGGGTGGGTGGGTGTGTGTGTGTGTGTGTGCGTGCGGGTGGGTGGGTGGGTGGGTGGGTGCCCGTGCGCGTGCGCGTGCGCGGGTGCGTGTGCGTGTGCGTGCGCGTGTGCGTGTGCGTGCGCGTGCGCGTGCGCGTGCGCGTGTGTCTGTGTGTCTGTGTGTCTGTGTGTCTGTGTTTGCATTTGTGTGTGTGTGTGTTTGTGTGTGTGTGTGTGTGTGTTTGTGTGTGCGTGTTTGTGTGTGTTTGTGTGTGTGTGTGTGCGCGCATGTGTGTGTGCGCGCATGTGTGTGTGTGCATGTGTTGACTCAAGATCACACGTGCTTTTGCATAAAGAGCGCATCGAGGCACTAACAAAGCTCCCGACGTGTTTGGCAGCACGTTTCTGGAGGTGCACACGCGACCGAGCTTTGTAAGGGCAAACCTGCTTCGACCTCATAGTTGTCATCTACAGTAAAGGGGATGATCATATTGAGCTCACCAACTTACCATTGGAACATGGGGCTTCCTCACATCCCATGCCTGGGAAGAATGAACATTGCACATTTGTTTGACTGAGCTGCAAAAGGCAGCAACAAGGCGAGGAATTCCAGTTTGCAGATCGAAGCACATGTGAGCGTGCTCAAAACCCGATTGCCATAAATGGGTGCCTTCGCCGCCTTCCTAAGTTTTTACATGGTTCTGGGCGGACCGTTTTTCCACCTGACGTTGGGGGGGGTCCTGGTTTGGATCATTTTTTCTTTTGAAGGGACCGGGTCCCGAACGTCTGCGTCCATGTGAAAAGGGTGGGAGGGTACAGGTTCAATCAACCATGAAAGCAATGCTTGGGTTCAAATAACATCATATAACCACCGTGCGCCCTTCAGGCTCCTCCAAATCTTGTCCCCTTAAACCATTCTGTTTGATCCAAGCATGGTTGTTGTTGGGCAACATTTTACATTTTTGCTTGTTGCGGTTTGGTGGTTGAAATCCAAATCCACTGAACTGTTTTTTGAAAATCTTTGCTCCCCTTCCAACGTCAACCAAGCAGCCTTGGGTTTTTCTTGGGCCATTTTTGGAGGCCTCGGCTTTGGCTCCGCCGGGTTTGGCCTCCCGCTTTTTTCGGCAGGGCTCGCTGCCGGCCCCGCGGGTGCCCGCGGATCCCCTGGCGGCCTCGAGGCTGCCGGAGCCCAAGGCCAAGAGCAAGGCGCGAGGAGCTGCGGTCCCGGGCGGTGGAACTCGATGTCAATATGGACTAGCCACTATATTTGGCGATCAAAGCCGTGGTTGATCCCATTTTGAAAATTGGTTGGTAGGGGGATTGATTCACCCCCCCAGTTTAGGCGTCCGATTTTAGCGGTTGGATTGGGATGTTCACTGGGGGTACGGGAGTTTGACCCATGGCCAAATTGGTTCTTGTGGTCCCTTGTTGGTTTTAAAGGGAATTTAAATATCACTCCTGTTTTTTTTGTTTTTTTTCTCCGGGAAGCTGGAGCTTAAATGGAAGGTTGCCGAAGTTGGACAGGCCCTGGGCACCACCTCGCAGCTAAAGCGTGGGACTCAGGAAGAACGGCCAGGATGGCCCCATGAGGTGCCACTAAGGGTTGGTACCATGGACATGTGGGTATGGGTCAAAATGAAACCACCAGGAGTGGACCGCAGGTTTTAGTCTATGCTACCACTTACCAGGGCAACCCATTTTGGGGTTGCCCTATTTGTGACCCACAGCCATGTCACATTCTGAGAACGGGTTCTTCCAGCGGAAGTTGATGGCATAGGTGTCCTTTTGGGTTGTTTCGCTAGAAAAATGGCATGGCGATTCCCGGTGTACCTGGTGGTTTCATCATCTACCAGGGATATCCATCTATTTCTAAAAGGACACCTACTGTGGATGGACGACATCCATTTCGCACCACTTTGAAACCATGGTTGGACTCCTTTGTTCGTCGGCGTTTACCGGGGAATCGGCTCATTCCGGGCTTTCTTAGGGCCTCGGATCCAGGTCCTTGGCGCGGAAGAGCCAGAAGGTCCTCAGCAGAGTGCGGCCGCCCGCGTCCCTCCGAATCCCAGCGATCGATCGAGGCATACGCCGGTGGAGTCGGAGCAGAACTCTCGGGGTACCTTCCATTTCCATGTCCAGGGATCCGAATCTTTCCAGAAAACCTCAGACACCCAGAAAAAAAGGCAGGTCTTTGAAAAGAACGATGGTTGAAAAGAATGGGGAGTCCACCCCTAGAAAAACGCGATTTGCTCCTGTACGGGGGAGAGTGGTTGTCAGATTTATTGGCATGTCTTAACAGACGGGGAAGCCAAGCGCTCGTGAGTACTTGAGCTTTCAGCGGCGATTTGGTTCATGCCAATCCAGGGAGTCCAAAGGCCTGAGTTACGGAGGCTGTTGAAACACGGAGGTGTTTTACGGCCTTTTTACGGGGTGTTTACGGCCAAGTTACTCAGGCCGAGGAAGCTCTGGGCAATGTTTGCTTGCACACCGTGCTTGCGCATGCGGGAATATTTAAGGCCTGTTGATGCCTTCGCGTCCTAAAGGGCGGCATCTTTTTTAGATCCCCCAAGATGGCGCAGTTCGGTTTTCCTTCTGGTTTTCCCTTAAAAGGCCACCAGAAAAGGACTGACCCAACTAGTTGCCGCTCGCCCGAGGCCTCCCTAGGCATCCGGACAGGCCGGGTTTCGGGCTGGCGAGGGCAGGTTTGTCGAGTTGTTTGAATATTCGTTTCGTTGGCATCTCGTGACAAATGTGTTGTTGTTAGATGGTGCTTGGCATCTAACAAGTGCTTTGAGATGGTGTTTGGTTGGATCATTCTGCGGCATTCTACGGTCCGGGTTTTCGCGACCGACCACTGACCACTCGTTTGCAGATTGCTTCGATCTGAAACGAGTGGGTGGGCTGATGGCTGTTTACGGTGTGAAACTGAAGGACTCGTCCACCCTCAGGGCGTTTGTTGGCTAAGCCGATCCTTTTTGTCGTATACAGCGGTGGGAGAAAGGTTCCTTTACAGGTAGAAGAAAAAGGAGGCTACATTTGATTCTCCATTGGCACCATGTGGCACTCGACTTTCCTTCTGGCCAGAAATGTTCAATCCTTGAAGCCAGAAGAAATCATATTTGACATCTGTGTAGAGAAGTTCAAACCGTTCGGCCAGGCCGGAGCACAGGCTCCAAGGCCTGGGGTGTGTCTCGGTTTTTTTCAGAGAGCCAAGATGAGTTGCCTGCATTGTGGATGGACGAAATTCCGAAACCCTGGAACGATGCTTCCCCCTGCAAAACGAAGCAACAATGGTTTCCCCATGGTTTCAAAGTGGTGCGAAAGGAATTTCGCCCATCCGCAGTAGGGAAGTTGGCACAGCAAATCGCAAGGGGACCACATTCGCCCAGTGCCGATTGCCAGATGTGATTTGATCAGGCTGATGCTGATGCCACATACTAAGCGCAAGCCAGGAGGGTCAAGAAAGGCTTGAAAGCTGCCTGAGGCGGACTTGTCCATGCCCCTGCCGGATCCAGTACTCCAGGAGAGCTGAGAGACTTCGGGGGTTGATCAATATTCCCCGAAAGGCCCCCGGTTTTGACCATGGGCAACTTTTACCATGTCAATGTGGTGAAAGTCGAATCTGTTTTCGGTGTGGTTTTTCCCCACGTGGTGAATGGCATTTTTTTTGGTCATTTTTGGGTCGTGTCCTTCAAGGGTCACCCCGTGTCTTACGGAGCTTTTGACCAACCCATGGGAAACTCTTCAGCGCAGTGAGCTGCTTCCAGGAGAAGCCGTGGCCTGCGCGCTCTGCGTCTGTGCCGCTCTCCCGCGGGAGCAGAGGCAGCCAGATGGGGCGCTTTGAACTCGACCGCGAGCGAGGAGTTCTCAAGCTACAGACGTTGCAATGAAATGAGTATGTTAGATGCAAACTTCTCGGAGCCTAATGTGACCCCAAGAATGCGTATTTGCTACGGCTTGTGTTTTATTACAGTGGCAGCTCCATACTGTATGGGTCAAAATTTAAATCACCGGGAATTGGACCGCAGGTTTTCGTCCTTGGTTCCATTTACCAGGGTTCCATTTTGGGTACCCATTTTTGACCCACAGCCAAATGGACCCCTGGTGCAACAGCTGGTGAATCAGCAGGTTGCCTGGGCTGTTTTTTCCAAAGTCCTGATTTGTGGGTTGCGTTCTTGCTTCGCGACTGAGCTCAGGGAAACTGTTGCGACGTGCAACTGCGACAGGTGAGAAAGGGGCCTGGGATGAGGTCCAGCCGGCCAGGTGCTTACTTGATGCTTGGCTCAGACTGTGGCAAACCTGGACCTTGTTTTTTTGCACGTGGCAAAAGGCGGGCCTAGGTGTCGCCGGATAGAGCTCGGTCGAGGCTGGGCGCAAGGCCCTGGCATCCGCAAAAACGTAAGACCCTTGAGCCGATTGGCAGGAACTGGATGCCATCTCTTCGTCGGCGCAAAGCTTCGCCGGACAGGCCACATGTAAGATGCTGTCATGAATGGGTTTGGGGGTCGAAACATGTGACACCCTGCAGGCGTGCGGAATTATTTGGATCCTGAGACCAGCATTTGATCACCGGCTGCTGCTTTGCCATTGCTATTTGCTGGCAGTGGTTTCAAGATATCAAGGTGACATACCAACACAATTTGCCCTGTGCTTTGCCCATGTTGGGCCCGTCTTTTTGCAGGGGACCCCCAAAATGATGGTTTTCGGGGTACCAACTCAAGAGGAAAGACGAGCCGCTCTGTTGTTCCTGGCCCAGATTCTCAGCTGGCAGTTGTCAATACTTACTGTGTTAGTGTCCAGTTTAGCTCCGAGAATCGGAGTTGGCTGGTTGGATAACGCAAGGCGGCGAAGGACCGTGCAGCATCATGATAGTCATGAAAACAATAATGACATGTGTGAAATTATAAAGGTATGTCACTTCACTGTTGTTGACATGTTTTTAGTTGTTGTTTTGTTGGTTTAAGTTAATGGTTAGTAGGGGCTGCCAAAAACAAGTTTGTTGCTACCATACCAAGGGCTGAAAGAAGGTATGTCAGGTGTTGCATCTTGGGAGTATGAATCCGGCTTCTAGCTTGCTGTGTTGTGGATTTCATGAGTGAGTATTCAAACCACCATCAAAACGGTGGGGGTTATAATATGCCATTGTTTACCAAAGGAGTATTCATGATGAACCCTAGGGTCAAGGCTATCCTTATAAGACTAATGGTGTTGGATCAGCTGCATTGAATTGTCGACTGTTGCAATCACCCGCACCGCTCTCCCGGCTCACATTGCTAGGTGCTTGAAGTTTACTGGGCTTTGCAGCAGGAAAGTGTGGCTCTGCTTGAAACTGTCTCACTGGCATAGGTGCCCTTTTTTGGTGTTTGGTTGGAAATGGATGGGCTCCACTGGTTTTGATTGGTTTTATTCTATTTACAGGGCCGTCTATTTGTGCGAAAGGCCTCCTATGGTCACTGCTCTTGGCCGCTTACTAAGTGATTTCACGCCACCGATGCGGCAAGTGTCCGCCAGCACCGTTCAGCATTACACCATAGCTGAATCATTGCTTGTTGCCAAGGAAGATTTGGGCCGTTTTTGAGGGCTACCCTTTTTGGGTTTGCTTTCCAGGCAAACCAACAGGAATTGTTTTTTGGGGGGTCCCCCTATTTTTGCACATACCCATGTTGGAAGGATTGGGCCGGAGGCAATTGGAGCCAACTGTGTCCAAGCAGCACATGGCTAGCCAATGGCAACATGACGCCAGAGAAGGCGCAGCAGGCGCGTCTGAGTACAACAGGGCTCCTTAAAAGATACAAATTTTGCAACCATTTGGGTGTGGGTCAAAATTAAGCCACCAGAAAAACCATATTTTGGTTCATATGTCCACTCACCAGGGTTCCATTTGGGGTACATATTTTTGACCCACAGCCATTTGAAACATGTGACTTTTTCAACACCAAAATAAGCGGAAACCACCATTTACAAGTTGCAATGTTCAGGTGTTTTTCATGTAAGTATCCCTGTGAAAGGGGCGATCGATTCGGTGCGTCAGGTAAGGGGTTAGTCAGTCTGGTGATAACCCACTGAAAGGAGACTTGTAACCATGGCTTGTGTGGGTTACAACCAGGCTTCTTACTAAGTACCCTGTAAGTAGAAGGCTTAGAGTTTAAGGTTGAAAATGCCGAGGAATTCTTGCGCCACCATTGCAGCGTGGGAGCAGTTTTTGGATCGATAGCAGGAAGTATTCCCACTTTGGGGCGACCCATATTTGAACACATGACCAAAGGCATCAGGTGTCCGACACACAGCGATGCAGATGTCACTGAAGACAAGCAAATGACTGGCACAAGACACAGTGTGCCATTCAATGTGTGGGAGTGGCATTTTGAATGTGGAGCGAGGTTGGTCCTACAAGGGCGCGATATCTGAGTCGCACGAACAGCATATTATAGTTGAGTTGACACGAGCATTTGTTCCAGAATGGCAGCCCCAACCATGCCAAAGCCGCCAACAGCCGCCAAAATCCATACAAAATATATGCAACAGCCAACATGCTAGCCAAGGGAAAGCCAAGAACATCCTGCAAAAGCCGGCCAAGCAAATGAAAACATGGGTCCTCCGATGGCAATTCCAGCAATTTGTCGCAAGGTTCATCATCAATCAAACCACATGCAAATCATGTGAAAAGGTACTCGTACTTCAGATCGAATCTTGTGTCAATGCCGGTCGTTCGTGATGCAAAGCCCATACAGAAGTTGCTCAATTCGCAATCCCAGTGGTCTGTGGTGTTGCTTTTGCGGGGCTATGGCTGCTGGGTGACCAAAGGTCATTGTCATTTCCACGTTGTGGGTCAACACCAATGGTACCATTTTGGGGTAGGTGCACCACCCATTTTAGTCGATTGTAGTGGGGATTGGGATGTTCACTGGGGGTACGGGCGTTTGACCCACAGCCATATCCGAATCTCATGCCAATAGCTTCAGTCGCAAGGAAGTGAACCTGTTGCTGGGCTTCTTGTCCTCCTATGTGCTGAGAGGCCTCACCAGCACTGCAGAGGCCCGGATGCCACTGATGCATGTGAGGCGAAGCGGCTAGGGAAGAGAGGGCATGCACTCTCACTCGCTCTCTCTTTGGCTCTCTCTCGCTCTCTCTCGCTCTCTCTCTTCCTCGTTCCAAAGGACAGAGACGGAGGATTTGTATGCCCAATTACATAGACTTTACCCATGCCGCTACACAACAGGAAACAATAGTTTGATGTTGAATGCATAATGCCATATTTTAGCAGATGTTGTTGCGATGTTCCACACATGTCACTGCACAGATTGACCTTGCCAGCAAGCAAACACGCAACACTTTCTGCTTTTGGAGAAGTTATGATCCTGCGATTCGCCTTCGCCCTTTGGCTGCTGCTGCCTCTGGCGGCGGTGTCAGAAGATGATTCAGACGCTTGGACAAGGATGGCGAGGGACCAGCCAGTGCAAGCAGGTGGCCATGCTCATCCACTGCAGAACAAGCCATTGACCTAGTTGCTAAGGAAGAATGTTTGTTCTAGGGGTGTTGCCGTTGTTCCATTCATCGCTCACATGCGTGCAATGATGGCCAAATTGTGGGCAATCCAGCTGGTTTGGCCAGTATGAATGTTCCAATTGTGAGAGGTGTTTGCAATGTTCAGTGCCAGTTTGCAGTTTCTCAAAAGTTTGGATACATGACGACATAAGTGGCATTGAGATGTTGCATGCCGGACTTGGAACCGTTTGTGCGTGTGTGCAATTATCGGAAATTACCCGCATCAGACACATATTGCCGTTACCTTGTTCGGCTGCAACAATTGCTACCGCCAGCCCCTGCAAGTGGCATGCGCGGAATTGCTTAGGACCGCTGCGCGGATCAGATCGAGTCTAAGATGGGCCAGCTGGCCAAGGACAAGCATGGGGATGACATCAAGGCGCTGTTCAAGCATTATGATAGCACCTCAATCAGCATCCAGAGATGGAACTGGTGATATGGCGCAGTATTGCAACTTTGGCGCAGTATTGCACGCTGAAACATGGGCAACTGGCGAATTCGAAGCGAGGTAACGCAGATGGCGTGATCCACGAAGATGAGGTCAAAGAGGCGTGCTTGCCAAAAAAAGGGAAGTTGTGGTGTCCAAAGTGGCCTGAGAGCTGTATGGAAAAGTTCATTTGCCCAGAGCAACGGTCATTATTCAACAATGATTTTGCATACCAAATTGCCACAATAAGAATAAAAGAAAAATCGGGGAATGAATGAGACGCGCACGAATGGTATTGCAAGAGCAACTTATGAATACACCACCGGCGGACACTGGTTTTGAACACCCTGCTTCTTTGACATGGCCATGGTTCAAAACCAGTGGCACCATTTTGGGATAGGTGCACCACCCATTATAGAACCTATTTTAGTGGTTGGATTGGTTGATGTTCACTGGGGGTACGATTTGGGGTTTGACCCCTGGCCACATGGCTTGGTTTCCTCACAGAGCTTTGCATCGACTGCAGGCCATGAAAGCTGCTGGCATCAGCGAGGACTGCCACCTGGCCTCCGGTGTGATCGGGCATTTGGACAAGAATGGCTTCTTGGAGATGGCCAAAACGCGGAGAGCGGGAATGTAGAGCTAGATGAAATCAAACCAACGGCGAAATGCGCACATGTGTGTGTCTGTGTGTCGTGTGTGTGTGTGTGGTGTGTGTTGTGTGTCTGTGTGTGTGTGCGATGTGTGTTGTGTGTTGTGTGTCGTGTGTGGTGTGTGTGTTGTGTGTTGTGTGGTGTGTGTTGTGTGTCGTGCGTGTGTGGTGTGTGTTGTGTGTTGTGTGTCTTGTATTGTGTGTCGTGTGTCGTGTGTCGTGTGTTGTGTGTCGTGTGTCGTGTGCCGTTTGCCGTGTGCCGTGTGTCGTGTGTTGTGCGTGTGTGTGTGTGTGTGTGTGTCGTGTGCCGTTTGTCGTGCGTGTGAAGTGTGTCGTGTGTCGTGTGCCGTTTGTCGTGCGTGTGCCGTGTGTCGTGTGTCGTGTGTCGTTTGTCGTGTGTCATGTGTCGTGTGTCGTGTGTCGTGTGCCGTTTGTCGTGTGTCGTGTGTCGCGTGTCGTGTGCCGTGTGTCGTGTGTCGTGTGTCGTGTGTCGTGTGTCGTGTGTCGTGTGCCTTGTGCCGTTTGCCGTGTGCCGTGTGCCGTGTGCCGTGTGTCGTGTGTCGTGTGTCGTGTGTCGTGTGTCGTGTGCCGTTTGTCGTGCGTGTGAAGTGTGTCGTGTGTCGTGTGCCGTTTGTCGTGCGTGTGCCGTTTGTCGTGTGTCGTGTGTCGTGAGTCGTGTGCCGTTTGTCGTGCGTGTGTCGCGTGTCGTGTGTCCTGTGTCCTGTGTCCTGTGTCCTGTGTCCTGTGTCCTGTGTTCTGTGTCCTGTGTCCTGTGTCCTGTGTCGTGTTTCGTGTGTCGTGTGTCGTGTGTCGTGTGTCGTGTGTCGTGTGTCGTGTGTCGTGTGTCGTGTGTCGTGTGTCGTGTGTCGTGTGTCGTGTGTCGTGTGCCGTGTGCCGTTTGCCGTGTGCCGCGTGTCGTGTGTCGTGTGCCGTTTGTCGTGTGTCGTGTGTCGTGTGTCGTGTGTCGTGTGTCGTGTGTCGTGTGTTGTGTGTGTGTGTGTGTTGTGTGTCGTGTGTCGTCTGTCGTCTGTCGTCTGTCGTGTGTCGTGTGTCGTGTGTCGTGTGTCGTGTGTCGCATGTGTTTGTGTCTGTGTGTGTGTGTGTCTGTGTGTCTCTGTGTGTCTCTGTGTTTTTGTGTGTCTCTGTGTGTGTCTGTGAATGTCTGTGGTGTGGGTGTGTGTCGTGCGATGTCGTGCGTGTGTGTGGTTGTGTTTGTGTGTGTGTGTGTTTCGTGTGTGTGTGTGTCTCGTGTGTGTGTGTGTGTGTGTTTGTTGTGTGTGTGTGTGTGTGTGCGTGTTTGTTGTGTGTGTGTCGTGTGTGTGTGTGTGTGTCGTGTATGATCGTGTATGTGTGTGCATGTGTGGTGTGTGTCGTGTGTTGTGTGTGTGTGTGCGTGTGCGTGCGCGTGTGCGGGTGGGTGTGTGTGTGTGTGGGTGTGTGTGTGTCATGCGTGTGGGCGTGCGTGTGTGTGTGTGTGTGTGTGGGTGTGTGTGTGTGTGTGTGTGTGTCGTGCGTGTGCGTGTACGTGTGGGTGTGTGTGTGTGTCGGTGTGTCGGTGTGTCGGTGTATCGGTGTGTGTGTGTGTGTGTGTGTGTGTGTCGGTGTGTGTGTGTGTGTCGGTGTGTGTGTGTGTGTGTGTCGGTGTGTGTGTGTGTGGGTGGGTGTGCGTCTCGGTGTGTTTGTCGGTGTGTGTGTGTGTCGGTGTGTGTGTGTGTGTCGGTGTGTGTGTGTGTGCATGTGAGTGTGAGTGTGACTGTGTGTGTGTGTGTGTCGATGTGTGTGTGTGTGTCGATGTGTGTGTGTGTGTGTCGATGTGTGTGTGTCGATGTGCGTGTCGATGTGTGTGTGTGTGTGGATGTGTGTGGCTGTGTGTCGATGTGTGTCGATGTGTGTGGATGTGTGTCGATGTGTATCGATGTGTGTCGATGTGTGTCGATGCGTGTGGATGTGTGTCGGTGTGTGTCGGTGTGTGTGTGTGTCGGTGTGTCGGTGTGTGTGTGTGTGTGTGTGTCGGTGTGTGTCGGTGTGTGTTGGTGTGTGTGTCGGCGTGTCTGTGTTTGTGTGTTTGTGTTGTCTGTGTGTCCGTCTGTCTGTCCGTCTGTCTGTCTGTCTGTCTGTCTGTCTGTCTGTCTGTCTGTCTGTCTGTCTGTCTGTCTGTCTGTCTGTCTGTCTGTCTGTCTGTCTGTCTGTCTGTCTGTCTGTCTGTCTGTCTGTCTGTCTGTCTGTCTGTCTGTCTGTCTGTCTGTCTGTCTGTCTGTCTGTCTGTCTGTCTGTCTGTCTGTCTGTCTGTCTGTCTGTCTGTCTGTCTGTCTGTCTGTCTGTCTGTCTGTCTGTCTGTCTGTCTGTCTGTCTGTCTGTCTGTCTGTCTGTCTGTCTGTCTGTCTGTCTGTCTGTCTGTCTGTCTGTCTGTCTGTCTGTCTGTCTGTCTGTCTGTCTGTCTGTCTGTCTGTCTGTCTGTCTGTCTGTCTGTCTGTCTGTCTGTCTGTCTGTCTGTCTGTCTGTCTGTCTGTCTGTCTGTCTGTCTGTCTGTCTGTCTGTCTGTCTGTCTGTCTGTCTGTCTGTCTGTCTGTCTGTCTGTCTGTCTGTCTGTCTGTCTGTCTGTCTGTCTGTCTGTCTGTCTGTCTGTCTGTCTGTCTGTCTGTCTGTCTGTCTGTCTGTCTGTCTGTCTGTCTGTCTGTCTGTCTGTCTGTCTGTCTGTCTGTCTGTGTCTCTGTCTCTCTGTGTGTTTGTGCGTGTGTGTTTGTGTTGCTTCCTCGCGTAGGGCTTGCTTTCTTGCTCGCTTGTTTGCTAAACTCGCAGCTGAGCTCAGTTTGCTGTAGGTCTTCCCAATGATATTGAAGCCACTGCAGCCTAGTCCAAGATGAGTGTTTGATGGAGCTGTGCGTGCGCTGCTTGATGTTGCATGCCAAGGAGATGGGACACTGCACCACAGTGAGCTTTGATGAACTCTTGCCCGACAGCAAGCATGCTTAGAGCTCGTAGATATGCTGGCTGTCCCTGCGAACTCCGCCAGCTCGGAGTCACAAGAGCGGTGTCGCAAAACCGCTCGCAGCTTTGCCGGGGCTTTGGGTCGTCAGGGGCGAAGCGTAGGCAAAAGTGGGCCACAATTCAAACCCTGGGCAGATGAAGGTTCCTGAGAAACAATCCCCTATTCATAAATGGGGCCTTATGGTTCTGGGGATCGCCACCTTTTTCATTCGTGTAGCATGGCTCTGGTTGGATCGCCGACGTTCTCTTCTTGAAGCATGGTTCTGGTTGGATCGACCATTTGGGTATGGGTCAAAATAAAGCCACCAAAGAAAACCACAGGTTTTAGTCATTGTTTCCACTTACCAGGGTGCCATTTTGGGGTTGCCCTATTTTTGACCCACTGCCATTTGTTCCATGTGAACCACTTGCGCAAAGCCCGGGTAGATGAAGGTTAGTCAGGGGCAGTCCCATGCCACTGACAGGGTTGGTACAATGGACATGTGGGTATGGGTATGGAACCTATTTTTGACCCCAAAACCATTTCAATGGTTTTGATCTGCGACTCGTGGCCCATCTGCTTTGCCTTGTGCTGGCGCGAGGCCTGGCTGCGTCGTAGCTGTCACCTCTGCGTTTGCGGCCGCGGCGGAGGTGAGGCGAGCTCGGTGAGCTCCGGTTTTGGAGCGGCCGTGGTTTAAAGGTTTAGGGGGGTCCAATTTCTTACTTCAGCTTTTGGTTTTAGAGTAAAACACCTGCAGAATAGGAGGTTGCAAATGGGATTTGCAGGTAGCGCTCAAGGTTCCAACAGGTTGGTGTTTCTTGCCTGAGCGCAAAAACGCGGTCTATTCCTCCCTGCGAATGAACTCCCCCGTCCAATCTAGTGAAGCTAGAATGAACGGAGCCCGCCAGAAAGAGAGGCAAGGCAGCTTGAGAAGGGATGGGAAGGGCAGGGATTTTTGGACGGCGCCTATGAACAGAGAGCAAGAACATATTGAGTGGCCCTTGCCTGTCATCACAATTCACTTCGCAAAAGCAAGGCATTCAGCATGTTTGGAGGCTGGCAGAGACACGTCGATTGCTTCAAACTATCTTAAACTTGTCAGATTCTTTGGGACGTCATGCAAGGGGTTAGATTGGATTGACTCTCTTACCACGGCTGATTTGCGTCAAGAGTGCACAGCAGTTTGTGGACAAAGTTTTCCGGACGGTGCGCAGGACGTTGTCAATAATTAATTGTTCTGGGGCGCTGCCGCACGCAACCCGACTGCCAAGAATTGTGGGGCGCAGAATGCCGCATTCAGAGCTGTCACAAAACACATTGTCAATCTTAATTGTTCGGTAACTTTAAACACTCGTTCTTCGGCATCTTAGCGAGTGTCCTTGCTTCCTTCGACTCCTTTTCAGCAGCTTTCCACCCTCGAATCTTGGTCAACCTGCTCAGGGAGCTGTCCTCGCCAGCGAGCGCGGGCTCACTTGGCGCGAGGCTGGCTAGAAAATTTTCTCGCTCGTGTTTTTTCTCTCGTTGGACTACGAGATGGCCACGGGAGCAAACCGACCTCTGTAAGGCGAGGCTGCGGCTGGATACCGCAGACGAGCTGCAGCTGTTGTCCCTGGCTGGCATGAGGCCAGATCGGGACAGCTCAGCCGAAGTTCTATGTCTCATATGGATTTGATGGCGCGGGAGTTGTGCTAAAGGCCCTTGTAAACGTTGTAAAGAGAGTTTAATTGGGCTACCGCAGAAAAGAGGGATGATTCCTACCGAACTCATATGGTCGGTGTGTTCACATTGGATATGACGTACATGTCGCTAGTTTTGCAGGAGAACAATTACGCAAAACTTGCGCGGCAAAAGTTACGGTACCTCAACCACTGATGGTCAGGGGAGTAGTTGACTCTTGGCCGAGCAAATATGTTATGACATCCTTAGGATGCCGGTGGATACTGGACTGCAATCCCATCCAAGTGGAGCTGAGATATCCGGTTTGGGATGGAGTCAGGCTGCTGGGTTGGCACTGGCTACAGCCTGTCGCGTACGCCGTGGCCTCTCAGCAACACCCGTGGCGCCGATGGAGTCGACTCGAGGCTTCTTTGCTATACAGCTGGAGCAATGATGCATTCACCGGAGGGCTGCAGGAGTGGGAGGCAGAGAGAAAGGAACCAGAGCCGCCAGAACCCTTGTGAGGAGCTGCTGGCAGCTGCTGTTCTTTTGAGAGAGGCCGGGCTGGGATGGACTGTGGAGGTGCCAGTCAAAACATCCGAGGCTTGAAATGTGGGGAACAGGAACCCCGCTGCAGGTTCTGTACTTTGGCTGCACTTTGCTGGCATTGGTGCATTGCCTTAAGCCCAGATCTGCTGGCTGCAAGATGGAGGGAGGCCAAGACTGTGACTTGAATTCAAGGTCCTGCTTTTTTGCTGTGGGATATTGCCGCTACCTGGCGAAGTGGCGCACGTGGGGAGGTGAGGGCGTTGCAGCGCTGGTTTGCGACACTTCACCAATGTGGGTATTTCGTGGACACAATTTTAGGTGGGGATTCATGTCACCAACCACTTGTGAGGTGGTTCCCTTTTTTAAAAGGAATTTTGCTTGAAGGCGGCGTGCTTTGTTTGAAGGCATTCGCAAGCGTCATGATGCCCGAGAAGTTCCTAGGCAGGCCACGGCCAAGCATGTGACTCCCAGAACTGACAAGTCGCTTCCGACGAGAGTGTGAGCTACATGCTGCCAGCCTCTGCCAACAGTCTAGAGAGTTCTCGAAGAGAATCCTTCTGAAAACAAAGAGACACCCCTCATAAAGACGCGTTTGGAGATGTTTGGAGCGTGAAACAAGTCTCATGCTGGTGAGGCTGGTATATGCAGGGATCATCACCGACACAGTCAGCTATCAGGCTCCAGATGCTTAATATTTGCAGTAATGTGCTACTAAAGAGCAAGAGTGGAATGGATTCCTTTGCAAGAGCCATGCACGGTTGAGGCCCCTCTTAGCAAAATGGCCAGCGGGTCCAATGTATCATATATCATATAAAACATATACACCATGAGCTACGAAACTCCAGGAAAAAAAGCAGGCAAAAAAAAGAAGTTTTGTATGGAAAACCTGGTTATACACACCTTAGGCTACCAACCCTGGCAAAAACGGGTCAGAAAAACAACCTGTTTTTCAGCTTGTTTTCCTAAATACCTGCCAAAACAGGAAATAGCGCCTTTTTCGAATTTGGACCCGTAAAACAAGTTAAAACACCGTATGGTCCGTACAAACACCGTACAACAACCCGTACGCAAAGCGACAATCCTACAAATGTAGATGCATATGTATAATATATATATATATATTCTGTGCAGCCTACACAAAGTAACCCCAAACCAACCCTCATGAACCCCAGTGAAGGACCCCAATGAGTCCAAAGGACTCCTGGGCAGGACCAACGGGGTCAAGGGGCGTTTTGGCGCAATACCGGGAGCGTTGTTGCGTGTTTATCTCTTTGTCTGGTTACTTGCGTATTTTCTTGTTTGTCTATTTGTGTATATATGTATATATACATAATGTAATGTAGTGTAGTGTGTCGTAGTGTGGTGTAGTGAAGTAGAGTAGTGTAGTGTAGTAGTGTAGTGTAGTGTTGTGTTGTGTGGTGTAGCGCAGCGCAGCGTAGCGTAGCGTAGTGTAATGTATGTAAAATATAAGCAATGTGTCAAAAATGATATGGCTGCGAGTCAATTCATAAGGTCCGGAACAGGGTCCGGAACCCACATGCGATCCAGACCTCCGTTCCAGACCTCCGTTCCAGACCTTGCCTAGAAGCTTGATCCAGACCTTCCGTTCCAGACCTTGTTTATATATGTATGTCTAGTTTAGAGTATTGATTCAGACGGTCAGGTGATTTGGTAGGTTATTGACTCCCCCCTTGTTTTGCCAAATGCTACGCGTTTTTCGCAACCCCGCCGCAATCTGTTCGATACGATACGGTAACGGTTCGATACCGCTCTCGGTGGTCACATTGTTGAAACGACCATGTTTACATGCTGCTTGCTAGCATTCCCAAGTGCAACACTCGCAGACCCCGTTCCAGACCCGTTCCAGACGTGTTCCAGACGCAGCGGGGCAATTTGCCACCAAGTCCACATGCACGCACACACACACACAGGCCCATGTAAGTAGCGGCGCTTCTTCTGCGGCCCGCCGCGCCGCCCAAGAAGCCTTCAAGGAGGTGCCGTATCGTAAGGCCGCGCGCCGCTGGTCGCTTCATCCATCCATCTACCCATCCATTCAGCCATCCATCTATCCATCTTACACTAAATGAACGTGCGCGTGAGGACTCCACACATGTCTTCCCAGAGGTCCGGAACAACCAACCGTACGTAACTGACTCGTTCCAGACGTCCGCGTCACCGCGGAACGTTCCACACCAGAATATTGACCCACACCCATATGACGACATGTGCCTTCGACAGGGACTAGTTCTTGACAGATGCAGCCCGGCTCGGACTCTGTTCAGCAGGCGCTTCAACATGTACTGCAGCCTTGTTCTGCTGCTGGACATTTGCGGCCTCTTCGCGCTGTGGGCTGGCCTTGCAGGCAGACCAAACGCATGGGGCCGGATGAACTGGCTTGGAGAAGAGATTCATATAAGGCCTTATTGTTAGGGGGGCTTCTTTGGGCTCCCTCCCCTCCCCTCCCTCCCCCCCAGCCCCCATGAGAGATGATAAAATCCAGTAGCTGATCGTTTGTCTTGGACACTGCCCCCAGTCAATGCATCGAACCGCGCAGCCAGGCTGGACAGCAACGCCACCCGTGCCGCTGTTGATATGCTACTCCGTGACTGCCTTGAGCGAGCGTGGCATGTTTGCTGCAGCGGCAGCGAGACACTTGTTTTCTGCATACTTGGTGGTTCCCAGACATCCCCTTAAGATTAGGTGTTTAGGGTTTAGTGGTAGTTCCATACAACCCACAAACAAAATTGGAATTTAGCAGGGGATCTGAAAACAATCTGATGGACTGTCGCCGCAAGCAGCCAACTCCAGGCCTGCTTGCAGTGCCCTTATGGGCAGCTGTAATACTGGCTGCCCGGGCGGCAGGCCTGGTTCATGGATCTATGTGCGACACCATAATTGTGTAGTGGACAGACATTTACTGGAATGTTGAGTGCGTTGCTGTTGGTTGAGTAGTTTACGAGACTCACTTGTAACATCTTGTGACGGTGTGCTTGCTTAGAAGCAAGGACACCCTTTGAACGACAGGCCAATGAGAGGCTCATATGACTAAATTGTGATCAGCTGTCCAGGTCTGACCAGCCTAGAAGGAGCGATCTTTGAGTCGGCATCAAGTATGAATCGCATTGCTTGACAAAGGCGTTGTTGCACCTTGCTCCCTCTACCAGGACGACGCATAAACAACGGTGCTCCATTGGACATACCGCTGGGCACTCTACAATCCTCAGAATAAAAAGCTGAAATCAGAGGTTACTAATTCCAGACATAATTAAGACAGTCAGGTTAACCAACGAGGAAATTCAAAGTCAATTGATCAATAATTGGCTAGTTAGCTTATTGGCTACACCAGGGTGAAAGTAGATGTCACAATTCTCTTTGGGTAGGTACGGGGGATGGCTAAACCAAAATGCGGTAACAGTGCCTATCTGCTTTTACTCAATTGTAGACAATGTGTTATTTCATTGCTCAGTCAACCTAGCGACAGACCTAAATGGCAATAACAACTTTGCGCGTTTGTTTTACTTTCTAATGGTTCAGCCGCCGGTTTTGTACGGAATTAGGACACCAGTATATAGCAAACCAGCATAGGGCCAGGACATAACCAGAACACAAAGAAACCATTGCAACACCACCAGAGCATGACCCACCGACACCACATCGACAGCACGGCAGGCGCAAACCGAGTGAAACAACACCATGGACGTACCGCCCAAGCGGAAGAGCAATTCAATCAAACTGCACTAGCACAACAAACTATGATAGCAAATCGGTCAGCAACTGGGAAACGGATAACGCAATCGGGAGACTGACTTGGATACTATTGATGAAACACCTGAGCGCATATGAAATTACGCACTGCCAAAGCAAGACCGAGATACTACTAATATAGAAATAGGAAATTGGAATAGGATAAATTGATAGAATATCTTTATTTTTTGATGAAATGGTCCCATATGCGATCTAGACCTCCGTTCTAGACCTTGAATAGAAACATGTTCCAGACCTTCTGTGTTAGATTTTGTGTATGTATATTTATGTCTAGTTTGGAATATCGACGAGATGGTTAGATGATTTGGTAGGTTATTGATTCTCTTTTTGTTTTGCTAAATGTTATGCGGTGTTCGAGAGAAATTTGAGGTGTTAACGATGGGTTTTGTTTGTTGCGCTTTGGTGGTTAGGGTTGTGTGGTTTGTAATTATTGGGATTTGGATAGATATTTGTTGGAACGATTTGTTAATGTTAAGGGTTAACTCCGTTTGCTTTTAAGTTAGCGAGGTTATTTGTTTATGTGTTTTAGTTATTTTGATTGAATTTTTATGGAGTTTTTGTTTAGTTTGTTGTTATGTTTTTTCTTGGTTTAGTTTTATAGGTTTTATATAATTGTGTTTTGTTGATTGTTTTTTAGTAAATAAGGAATTAATATTTAAAGGGAGTATTGTTTTGGTTTTGTTAAATTTTGTGATTTTTTAAAAAGATTATGGGATTAGTTTGTGTTATGGTAATATTATAAGTAATAATTGAGGATATGATAATATTTTTTTTTTTTGGGTTTGAAATTGTTTTTATATTGAAATTATTTTGGTATGAAATGATATGATTTTGGTTTTATTTTTTTAATTAGAATTATATATTTGGAATTTTAGAAATTTTAATTTTTATAAATTTCGAATTTATGTATTTAATTATATCTTTAATTATTTAAATTTTACTTATGGATTGTTTTGATAGAAATTTGTTTGTTTTATATTTAATTATTATTTATTTGATTTTTTTGAAAATTATTTTTTATTTTTGGTTTAAATTATAATTATATATACATAATTAAACCGACTCTAGATTTATTTTAAGTATAATTTTAGAATAATCACGATTTAGATCTAAGCTTAAATAATTCTCTAAACCCTATTTAAATTATTCGAAACTAATCCTAAATTAATTTATATATTAATTTATATTTAATTTAAAATAAACGATTATTATATAAACCTAAGCTTACCTGAAATTAATGTCCAAATGTTTCGAAGGATTTGGAGGCTCGAAGCACTTTGGTTTTCAGCCAGCAATTCTGATCCTATATGGTTGGGAATTTTCATCGCGGAACCTGGGTGGTTATTTAGGTGGGGCCGGTACCCCTATTAATTTCATAGAGACATAGCTAAATATCCTTTGCCTCCCTTCCCAGAACAGTACAAAAGATCCGGAGTCTGCAAGCAATAAGCTCCTTGCGCGCGCCGCGCTTTGTAGCACTTCTCAGGCTAAGTTACTCTTAGCGTAATCCCAATATCTTCCCAAACAAATTGCAAACCCGTCCTAAACCAACCCTCTTCAAATTCCCTACTTTAGATTGCTTAAATCAAATAGAAAACTATCGTGTTTTAATCCCAACATAGAATAATCTTAAACCTGCTTTAAATTAACCTAATCCAAGCTTGTATTCTAAACGAACCCTAAACCTACCCTAAACACACTTTAAATAGATTTTAAATTAACACTAAATTTGCCCTAAATCTACTTTGAAATATTTCGATATAAAATTCAAACTCGTCCTAAATTAACATTGTATTCATTTACTCAAAAACTAAATCTAATTTCACTCTAAACCTATTCTAAACCCTTAACTAACCCTAAATCCACCTTTAACTAGCCCTAAGTTAAGGAAAACTCACTCAGCCAAAAACCAACCCTCATCCAATTTTCAACCCACCCTATTCCTAATATAGACCTAGTTTTTAACCTTAAATTTAAACCGACCATAAACTTATCCTTCTTATCCCAAACTAACCCTAAACCTACCCTTAATAAATTATACTTCTCAAGATAACCCTTAATCCTAAACTCGCGCTTAGCTAACTCTTACCCGCAACATATTTGTGTATCGCTTGTGGCGGCTTATATATATATATATATCCGTTGCTTTTGGATCTTAAACCATATTTTAACCTTAAATTTACTTTAAACTAACCCTGAGTTACCCCTACTTAATCCATTGTAAACTTACCTGTAATTAAGCCTAAACACAATTAGCGCCATTCTAAATTAACCCATTATGGATCTATTCCAAAACCAACCATAACTAACCTTGAACTAAGATTATATCCGCATAAACCTATTCTGAATTAACTTCAGACCCACTACGAACTATTCCAAAAACCACCCTAGCCCACCCTAAACAAACGACTTGGATCTACCACCTCCCTTTCCTAATCCTAACCCATATTATGTCACCTTTAACTAAATCTAAATTAATTTTAAGCCTAACTTGAATAAACACAAACTAACCTCGATACTAATTATAAATCACTCTTCCTATTCGAAACTAATTTTAAACCACCTACCCTTCCTATCCAACCCAATCCTAAACTTACCTTAGGCTTCGGCAAGAGGGCTGATAAGGAAGAGATGGAGGGTCAAAAGGAAAAGGCGGAGGGTCGGAAAGAAAGGAGGGAGGGTTAAAAAACAAGGGGGAAATGTTAAATAGAAAGGGTGAATGAAGGCTTGGAAAAAAAGGTATATTATATTAGGTTGGTTTGACAAAAGGTATGATTAAAAAAAAAATAAGAATTAAAAGAATGATAGATATATAAAGAATCTGGAGAAATGAGTGTATTAGATATATATAATTAACATATATATATATTTATTAATTTTATTGTTAACATTATTATTTATATTTGGTGAAATGGAGAGGATTTGAGAGCGATGGAAGGGAATGAAAGAGACTCACCATCATCCATCCATTCCCTTTCCCTTCGGTCATTTCTGCCTCCGTTCGGGTCTTTCACCTACAGCATAGAAATTTAAATTATTATTTATTACATAATAAATATTATTTATAGTTAATATAAATATTATTATAATTATTATTAAAATTTAATATTCTAAATATATTGTTGTTTTATAATTTACATTATTTTAATTTTTAATATTATAATTAAAATAATTATTAATAGACTCGATAAATATAAATTATAATTAGGATTATGAACATAATTATTGGAAATATAGATCGATATAATTGTTATGATAAATAATATGTGTTTTTTGTATTTAAAATACCGATAGATTATAGAGATATATGATTTGATAAATATGTCTTGGAATAATTCGGAATTGTATATTTAGTATTAAAACAAACATATTATTAATAATAATGAAATAGAAAAAAACATATATAAAATTTAATAATATTAAATAATATAAATAATAATCATTATAATAAATTATAATACTAATAATATATATTTTTATAAAATTATGGTATTATTATTATGTTTGCTAATTAAATACATTTAAAATATATTCGATAATATAATTTTAATTAATTCAATTTTAAATATTTTATATATTAATATTAAATCTATATTTGCGAAAAAAAAACATATAATATTAAATATTGATATATATATAATATACATCTATTTAATAATTCTTTAAATATATATATATTGTAATATGGTTAATTAAAAATCTATAATTCAAAAAAATATATTTAGATATATTTTTGCAATTTAATATTAATTAATTTATTTTCATTAACTATATTACATATTAATTTTAAATAATATATCGATAATAAAAAACAAATATATATGTATATATTTATTCAATTTATATAGAATTAATATATTTATTCTTTTTATATATTTATCTATCTATTCTATATTAAATAAATTTGTTTTTAAGAATTCTATAATAACAATCCGAAATATTTTATTTTATATAAATGAAGAATATTCCACTCTAAAATATTAATACCCCTGGCAGGTTGCAATTTTGCAATAGGCCTGCAATTTGGCAGGCCCTCCCCCCCCCCCAACTGGGGTATCCTTTATTTCATATAAAAACCACCCCCAAAAAATGGCCGCCAACTTTTGGCAATGTCAACAAAGACATGGGTGGGTTATCCTTGGATTCGAAAAAAATAATAAAATATATAGTTAATTAAATATATATATTATTTTAATATAATTATAATAAATTAAATTACTATAAATTTTAAAATAACAATACATATTAAAAAATTGTTATTATAATCAACATCTTTATTAATTAATTCTCCAAAATCTAAATAAATAATTCACACAAATATATCCAATGGTTATATCAATTATAAAATCATCATCAAATATTAAAAATATAATTTGTTTTCAATCATAAAATACATATTAATTAAAACCAATATAATATATTCAATAATAGTTTAATAAATATATTTTATATCTCAAAATTTTATTTTTTTATATATTTCTAATAATTTAATTTATCTAAATTTACACTAAATTCTTTAAATCCTCCTAATCCCCCTTCCCAAACCCTCCCTAAATATTTATTGCAATTTCATGCCTAAAAAACCTCCATAATTTCATCTGTTTACATTATATAATTTTGAATATTTATTCGCCAATATAAATATCTTTATTCATTTATTCATTCAATATTTATAATTTTCAAAAAATTATTTTATATTTAAATAATTTAATTATATAAATTTATAAAATTTATTATATTCAATTTTATATTAAATCAACCATATCAATATATATATATATCGTAAAAAATATCGAATATATTCCAAAAAAGAACATATTTATTTTGTTCTATAGAATATAATCATGGAGTTTGTCTATGGGTCAAATTCATTTATGCCCTTGACATGGCAATTTCATATAATGACATGAGTATCTTTTTAATTTCTTTTCTGATTGTATGGTGGTTTGCTTCTTTGAATTGATTGACGAGCATTCTTTGGTTGATTTGCTCTTTCTTTGTCCGTGTGGTTTGTTTGCGCCTTCGATTCGTGGTCCGAGCTCCGTTCTTTCATATGTGTGAATGGAACCCTCCAAGAGGAGCCACCCCACATGTTGCAATCGCGCAAAATGGACCCTAAGTTGAAGTTAGGGCCTGCAAACCTGTGGTTGTTTGACCAGATTGGTGGGATGATCGTGTCGCGTTTGGACTGCCCACTGGTGCTAGGTAACCAGGTAGGAGGAATTACGTTGGCGTAATTTATCCCAATTTTGCCTAATTTGTGGCTCTCCGTCTCCCCAAAGTGTCCCAAATTCAGTGCTTGTTGATGTAACTTTCCTTAAGCTTGGTGTTGAGACATGATTGCGAAACATGCGCTTTGCAGGCCCACTTCATGCCAAGTTCAGCAAATTCATTTGCAAGACCATTTTTCAAGTAGAGCCAAATTACTGCAAATTACTACAGATTACACTAATTATCAACAATTGAAGGCCGGGTATGACTTAAAACTATTGTCTTGCTTCTGTGGTTGGCCTGGAGTGGCTCTTATTGCAGGGGCTCCTATGACACATGTGATTTTTGCTTTTCATTACAACTGTCCACATCAGGCCCAGACTCAAACGAACTCGCAAATGTCCGCCAGCGGGAGTTCCAGCCTGCCATGGAATCTGGAGACATCCTATCCACTTAGCTGTTGCACGTCATCGCTTTGACCTTCACAAACCAAGAAGGTTGAATGCAAACAATTCATGCGGCTTCTCAACTTGTTCAATGTCGTCTGCACCTCTTCGGAATCAAATCGGGCAATGGCTGATGATT